GGAGTAGGCATAGTAAAAAACGACTAAGACTCCAAAAGAAAAGGAGTCGAGCCACGATTAAGGGGAGACATACTTTGTTCGAGTCGAGGTGTTGATGAAAGTCCCACATCGGCTAATTTAGGGAATGATCTTGGGTTTATAATAAAGGAATACTATCTCCATTGGCATGAGACATTTTTTGAAAGCCCAAAGGAAAGTCATGAGAGTTTATGCTCAAAGTGGACAACATCATACAATTGTGGAGAGTCGTGTTCATTTAACATATAAGACTATGTTCCATATGCTCATGTTTACGTTAGTACTTAAATTAAGACAACGTTCCATTGTATTACTGTTTACATACCATGTTATTTGGAATGTAGTCGAGAATGTTATGCTTTGACTCAATCTCTAACAACAATCAATGAGATATTTTTTCGCGTGGGCCTCCAAAATTCTATAATAGACGGGCCATTAATTCCTAATCTATTAATTACATAATAAAAATATTTAATAAAAGTACCTATAAACTTATTTAATTTTTCTTAAAATTAACTGATTTATATTAGGGACATTACCCCATTTTAGTGTAAATTTGTTTGGAAATTTAATATTTTGCTGAACACCTTTAAATAAAATTAATATATTAAATTTTTAAAAGTTATATAAAATTAAAATTTTAAGATCGAAATAAACACAAATTAAAAAGAAAAAAGGAAATATATATATATATTAATAAAAGAAACCGCTTTCCTCACAGAGGTTTCAGAAACATGACTAATTTATTGTCCCGAGTTTCGACTCCCGAATTCTGATAGAAAGCTTACAGGTGTGCTCCATAGTTACACACACAACACCAACACCACACCAACACCAACACCAACACCATGGCCTTTTCCCCTTTCCACCGCTTTCTCTTCGTAACAGAACTCTTCTCCTCCCTGGGTCTCCATCTCCACTTCTCTGATTCAGCTCCTCCCAATCTCCCCGGATAATGGAGGTGATCGGAAACTGCTTGGGACCGCCGAGGTTGAGAAGAATCCAGAGAACTCTCCGCAATTTCAAGCTTACCATCCTCTGCCTCTTCCTCACCGTTGTTGTCCTCCGCGGCACCATCGGCGCCGGTAAGTTCGTCTCCTCCGAGTGGGACTTCATCCACTTCCGTGACCGCTTCCCCTTCCGCAACCGTCTCCTCGTCGAGCATCAAACGACGTCATCGAGCGGTGGAACGGACAAACCCTACCGACTTGGTCCGCCGATCTCCGACTGGGATGAACGGAGGAGGAAATGGCTTGAAAACAATCGCGGATTTCGTCATTTCACCCGGCCGGGTAAGCCTAGGGTTTTGTTGGTTACTGGATCGTCGCCAGAACAATGTGAGAATCCGATTGGAGATCATTACCTGTTGAAATCGATTAAGAATAAAATTGATTACGGTAGGTTACACGGAATCGAGATTTTCTATAACCTAGCGGTTTTGGATGCGGAAATGACCGGATTCTGGGGGAAGCTTCCGTTGATACGGACGCTCCTTCTATCGCATCCGGAAGTAGAATTCATATGGTGGATGGATAGCGACGCAATGTTCACCGACATGTCGTTTGAAATCCCTTGGGAGAGGTATAGAGATTTCAATTTCGTAATGCATGGTTGGAAAGAAATGGTGTACGATCAGAGAAGCTGGGTTGGGCTGAATACAGGGAGTTTCTTGATGAGAAACTGTCAATGGTCGATCGACATTCTGGACGCGTGGGCTTCAATGGGGCCGAGAGGGAAGATCCGAGAAGAAGCAGGGGAAGTCCTAACGAAAGAGCTGAAGGACAGGCCAGTGTTCGAAGCAGATGATCAATCCGCCATGGTTTATCTCCTTGCAACACAGAGAGAAACATGGGGGAACAAGATCTATCTAGAGAATTCATATAATCTCCATGGATATTGGGAGGTTTTGGTGGACAAATTGGAGGAGATGAGTGGGGGAAATCGGCCGCTGGTGACTCATTTTACAGGGTGCAAGCCATGTGGGAAAGCTGGGGATTACCCTGTTGAGCGATGCTTGAAAGCAATGGAGAGGGCGTTTAATTTTGGGGATAATCAGATACTCCAATTGTATGGATTCATACATAAATCGCTGATGAGCAGAAGAGTTGAAAGGATTAGACGGGTAACTGAGAATGAAGTTGGATCGATTCAACCAGTTCTTTCCCCTGGTGTGGAGGTGGAACCACCTTCTTCTAAAGGTATTTTGTCTCTCATCAGATGAACCTGTCGCTTGTCGGTTCCTTTTTTTCAACATTGTTCATAGACGTGTCAGGAATGTGTTCTTTTTCAGAGTATGAATTTAGTAGGTGGAAGGAAAATGTATGCGTCTGTTCCTTGAAACTCGGGCATGATCCCAAATGTTTATAAAGTATTTGGATTGCATGAACTAATACATCCATTAATACTAATCCATTAGTGTTGATGATGACTAATGATGAAAGTCCCGCTAATTTAATCACAGGTTTGACATTTAGAGAAGGATCATAAGTTTATAATAAAAAAATACTGTCTCCATGAATACTATCTTCCTTGGTATTAGACATTTTATGAATACTATCATCGTTGGAGTCAGTCATTTTAGGGAAGTCTAAAGGAAAGTCATGAGACGTGGACAATATGGATAATATTATATCATTGTGGAGAGTCTAAAGAAAAGTCATGAGAGCTTATGCTCAAAGTGGACAATGTGAATAATATTATACTATGTTATACTATTGTGGAGAGTCTAAAGCAAAGTCATAAGAGAGTAGACAAAGCAAAGTCATGAGAGCTTATGCTCAAAGTGGACAATATTACAGAGAGTCGTGTTCATCTCGATTATGTTAGTTGAAGTTTTGAGGAGTTTTTTTTATTGGAACTTTTGAACACATAAGGCCAAGGAAAAATGTGAAATTAGTTGAAGTTTTGAGGAGTTTTTTTTATTGGAACTTTTGAACACATAAGGCCAAGGAAAAATGTGAAATTTGTTCAAAAGATGGTAACATTATTTAGTAACGGAAAATGTGAAATTTCACGTGATTGGTCGGGGGAGAACAAATCATTTCTTATAAGCTGAGACTAATACGCACGATAGTATAAGCTATGAGACTGATACGCAATGGTATCTATAGAGTGGTACTCGAGTTTGTAAATTTTGTGAAATACTAAATAAATAAATGTGTAAAAAATACTTTTATTTTTATTTTTATTATTTTTATTTTTTTTATAAATTTAGGCATATTGTATTTTTTTAGTTATATAATACTCCTATGTTTTTAGCTATAAAATATTATTGAAATTTATTAGCATATTTTGCACTTTTTTAATAGAAATTGTATTTAAAAAATAAAATAAGTCAATTCACTCCTATTTAAGAAAATTAATTTGGTTACAAAAATTTTAATTATTCAAGGAATAAATCTTGCGGATTTTTATACCCAACCTTTTTTTTGGACGAAATGTTAAATAAAACAAAAACATGGAATTTAATAAATTTTGACCATGGTCAACCAACTCTTTATTTTAATGTAATAAATATTTTTATATTGTTTTATTCTAATACTACTAGATAAACTCGAATAAATTAAACCGATGCTTATTGAATTTATAAGAGAATAAAACTAGGAACACAAACAACCATTCAATTCACAAGCGAAAAAAAAAGTCCCAAACAAAACCACAAGACAAAGCCCCATATTATTCATTACTAGACCTCAAACAGAAACCATTGTAAGACTCACGATAGTAAGAAAAACAGACCAAACCAAACAAGGCCTAACCAAGTCCGCCGCAATCGCGTTCACTCCTCGGAACAACCGGTCACACCCAACCAGCGTCGCCGTCTTCCCCAAACACGCCACGGAGCCTAGCCATCGCGACCCGGCTCCAAGCACGAGGCCGTGCCACGCCATGCACAGCACCAAGTACAAAGTGTAAAGATACAGCGCGTTGGGCCTAGCTTGGAACCCGCCTTCAGCCCAGAACAGCCAGCTCGAGATGCCCATCAACAAGCTAGAAGCCAACGACCCCCAGTTCACGACCCTTGCCGATGGAACCCAGAAGGGCTTCGTGGCGGAGGGGTAGTAGTTTTTGGGTCTGGCAAGGAGGAGGATGGAGAGGAGAGTGACGGCGATGGGGATGGAGACTGCCACAGCTAGAGACTTCAGGCCTCGTTTGGCGATAGCCTTGTTCTTCTCTCTCTTCGCGCTAACCTCGTCGGCGGCGGCTGGGACGGCGGGGGAGTCGCCTGTTGTTCGGTGCTTAAGCTCGGTGGAAGCCATATTTTTGTCGGAGAATTACAAAATGGGAAAAAGATTAGGAGATTTAAGGAGGTGGAGGAGCGACGGAAGAGGACACGTGGAAGGAGAAGAAGATGAAAACGTGGACAAAACGACGTACAAATATATGTATGGGACACATAGCTAATTTTGTACCTAAAAAAAAAAGTTAACCGCGTATAATAAAGATTTAACTTAACGATTAAGATATCTATTTTATTTATTTATTTTAATATATCGATATTAGATTTATAAGTATTTATTCTACAGATTTATCACGTGTTATTATTTAGTTAATTATGCTAATTTTGGAGGATTACGTAGAAATGTAACCTAGCTCCTATTTTTTTTCTTCTTTCATTAATTTTTTATTTTTATTTTTTATTAATAATTTAATTATTAAATATATTACTTTGACGATCAGATCAATAGTAAAAAAAATTCCCTTATAAATTTATGATTCGAACGACCTCATAAAATGTTTAGTCGATATAATAATTAATAAAATAAATGAAGATTATAATTACCATTAAAATAATGCAATACGTCGGGTAATTTTTAATTTTTATTTTTTTTACCTCTATATATAAATTTAATATTGGGTGGAATAATCTTGAAAGTGGTCCAATTAGCGGTAGGGCTCAAATAGCGCGAACGAGAAGTAAAATCCACGTGGGTTAAAAGCCCACTTTGCAGCCCATCAAAAAATGGCGATTTTGGTCGGCCTGCTTCTCGGACCAGCGCCGTGTACGTCAACAGACTTGCAGGTCTGGGGACGGAGGGCAGCTCGACGACGGGGAAGGCCATGGCTGCGAAATCGGCGAAACCTCCGCGAAAATTAGCAAATTCCCGCCACAATTATTGTCGAAATCCGAAGCTCGCATTTGCGTTATGTTTGATCTTGGCCGATGCTATCCTCGTTGCCCTTATCATCGCATATGTACCCTGTAAGATCGAATTTCTACTCATTTCTGTTCTTCTTAAAATGGATTTTCGATATATCCTTTTGACGCCATTGATTCTTTGGTTCCAGATACTAAAATTGATTGGGACGCTTACATGTCGCAAGTAAGTCTCGTTAGTAGTAGAATTATAACATTAATTTGCTTAGAATTTCGATCACAAGTGAAAACATTTTTCAGATTGGCCTTACCTCTCTAAGAACTGTAACAGTAAACAGCAAAGAATGATAAAATTACAGATTAAGATTAGAGTGTTTCAGAACTATTCCATTATTTTGTTTTAAGTAGAGCATTTCTTGCGCATCAATGGCCGTTTGTTTGATCTTTTACATCTTGGTATTATTTTCAAGCAGGTAAGTGGTTTTTTGGGAGGGGAGAGAGATTACAGCAAATTGCAAGGAGACACTGGACCTCTAGTTTATCCTGCTGGGTTTTTGTACATTTATTCTGCCATACAGCATGTCACTGGAGGAGAGGTCTATCCAGCTCAGGTAATAGTTTGTACTTATAGAGATCAAGAAACTGTCATTTACCCTACTGATCTTTTGTTATTTCATGGTTGTTTGTAAGAACTATAATTAGGTGACTTGGAAAAATTAACGATACCGTGTTAAAAAATCTCGAAGAGGCAGTTTGGGTGTTTTTCTGTTGTTTGGGTCCGGTTCAACGTTTTTAAGGGTTGGTTCGACCGGTTCGTGATCCTCGGGAGCGGTTCACGTTAATTTCAAATTATTAATGAGCACGAACTCTTGTTCTTGTTCAAAAGTTGCCGTAATTTGTTTTAAACATCAGTTCATTCATTAGAATATAGGATTTTACTGATTTATTTATTTTTTCATGTGCTAAATTCAGGGAATATTGTTTTCGTTCCTGAGTGGTAATAAAATTCTATTATTGCAGATTCTTTTTGGTGTCTTGTACATTATAAATCTGGGAATTGTCTTATTTATCTATGCGAAGACGGATGCGGTAAGCATTTATCTTCCTTTCTTTTTCTTGTTATACTTCTTTTATGCTGCAGAGTATAAACTAGGGTGCCTTAACATAGCTTAGCAGGCAACATAATCGTCCTTGCAGCCTCGACCTTACCGGAGACTAGCACCTATTACGGGTAGAAAGTAGTAGTATATCTTAGATGGCAACAAGTTGTTTAATCTTCAAATTTTTTCAAATTGATTGCTTTCCAGCTTCCATTCTGGTCTTTTTGCTTACTCTCCCTCTCCAAACGAGTGCACTCGATCTTTGTGCTCCGACTCTTCAATGATTGCTTTGCCATGACTCTTCTTCATGCTGCATTGGCCTTAGTTCTTTTACGAAGGTGGAACCTTGGATTAATCATCTTCAGGTATCATTATCTCTGTTATAGTATTATCTTAATTTTTATGTTACCACTTTTAACCGTCTCGTTATTCCGATTCTGCAGTTTTGCTGTTTCCATAAAGATGAACATTCTTCTATATGCCCCACCTTTGTTACTTCTGATGTTAAAGGTAATTCTCGTTATCGTTTTTATTGTTTACTTACCTTAGTTTCCAAGTTTATTTTTGTTCAGATTATTTGTTAAGACAATTCAAACTATGTTACAGGCTATGGATATCGGTGGAGTGATAACGGCTTTAGCTGGGGCAGCTCTTGTGCAGGTGCTTTGCTTCCTATTTTAACTTTGAATTTCTTCAGCTGAGTGTCTTCTGAGTTAAAAAAGAGCTTTAAACTTTGGACTTATTTATGGTATTTCTTGACATATAATTATTTTCCCCATAAGATCTGTTTCCTAAGTGCTCTCAAGTTTACCATCAGTAGCTACTACATAGTCTTTCTTTTCCATTCGGACAGTTGGACGAGTTTAATTTTTAACATTGCTATTTACTTCATCTTCGAGGATGCATTGTCATCTACTTACATTTGCTCGATCAACGGTTTTGCAGATTCTTTTGGCGCTTCCTTTTATAGTTTCACATCCATTTGAATACATATCAAAAGCTTTCAATCTTGGGCGCGTCTTCATCCACTTTTGGTACATCTCACTGTACTTCCAAAGCGCTGTTATTTTTTAAAAACATCTTATACCGTATTTATTGGCCATCTTCTAAACGATACAAGATAGTTGATTCGGATCGTCTTTATTTGTAATTTTGTTTCTTGAATTCGAAGTGTTTGTGCTTTGATGTATTAGGTCCGTTAACTTCAAGTTCGTCCCCGAGCCAATATTTGTGTCAAAACAGTTTGCTGTGTTGTTGCTGATTACTCACTTGATATTGTTGGCAGTTTTTGCTCATTACAAGTGGTGCAAGTAAGTGCTTTAACTACTGACAATAAAGTAGAAACTAATGTTATTATGGTGATAATCTTCTATTTGAGCCTGTTAGAAAGGGAAGATTTACAGAGAAAACATTGGGCCGTTCAGTGGGTTATAAGTCTTATGAATGCATTAGTTTATCTTCTGGAGCATTTGCAGCAATATTTGAGATTTGTTCATTTTCTTCCAGGCATGAAGGTGGGCTTTTGAACTTCATCAATTCATGGTTTCTCTCTATTAAACTTAGATTTCCCAATAACAAGTCATCCTTCAAATTACTTAAGGAAGAACGTAAGTTGGTACTAAAACGATATTTGATGCAAATTGTAATATGTCTTATTTCCTCTGCTCGATTCATCTAACTATTTCATTGGCTCAGATGTCGTAACAGCGATGTTTGTCGGGAATTTCATCGGTATTTTGTGTGCTCGATCATTGCATTATCAGTTCTATTCATGGTAAGCTGAGTAACTCAATCCCTTCACAATTAATGGAAAAGGATGAATTATCTCGATCCACCTGTTAATGTCTGCATCTCATATTTTTACGAACACGCCATCCGATCCTCAAGCAATGGTGTCGAAATTTCATTTGAATAACATTTGATTATCACGATCATATAACTCATCAGATCTGAAGCAGGGCGGTATGAGCTCTAAACGTCATATTTGATTATGCTGCAGGTATTTCTTTTCCCTTCCATATCTGTTGTGGAGGACGCCGTTTCCTACATTATTACGGTACGTTGCTAGAATAACTCGTCCTTCTTTTCTGGATCAATTTGGGCACGTACAATATATCGTTATTGTTTCCGTTTTTTTGCAGTTTGGTTCTGTTTGCAGGGATAGAGTTTTGTTGGAATGTCTATCCTTCTAATATGTATTCCTCCATCTCGCTTCTAAGTCTTCACCTAATTTTGCTCTGGGGTTTGTGGTGTGGACCAGCAGAGCATCCTTATGTTCACAGCGAAGCATCAGATAGGAAACAAAATTAAAAAATACAAGCTCTTCATCTGTGTATCATTACCATTAGACTGAATTGCATATGTTTACATTTTCCATATTTGATTTTCAGCTAACTTTCTCGTGTTACTTTCATCCCGGGAATCGTTTGATACCGTGGGGGAACGTGATCAGGTCAACTTCGGGGTGTCGAGCATCAAATTTTAGGCTAATTTAGTTCGAGTTTTTGCCCTCTGTTATTGTCATCTTGGAAATGGACACACCCTTGAAAGCTGCTGTCTTTACTTGTATTGCGACTACTTTTGTAACACAATTTGATGCAACTCTTGATCCACACAATTTGATGTAACTCTTGATCCTGAACGGGCCCCTTTACTGTTTGTCGAGCTACTTACTCATGAACGCAACCCCTACAACTTGGTTGTGCTTGGGTTCTGGAGATCGTTCTAACATGAAATTACTGTAATTTGAATTTGAAAAGCAATCATGTTGGCTTTAGTTTGAACTTTTCCCAACCCAACTGCCTCTTTTGCTTTCTTTCACAATATGACAACAATTTAATAGCAAAGTTAAAAAATTTTCAAATTTTGAAAATTTGAATGTCATGCCTCCAAAACTTTGCACTCTTTCAGAAGTGAAAAGACTAAAATACCCTTGGGATATTCTTGATTTATATTTAAATTTATGAGCTTCGTGCTTTGAATGGTGTATTTCCTAATAAACTCATGAACTTTTAAGATTCTCTGGGATAACTATTTGATTATTTTTTGAAATTGTTGTTTTTTTTTTCTCTTATAATTATCTTTTCTAAAGAAATAGCTTCAATTCAATGAAAATTGATTCAATCTTAACCTATAAAATTTGATGGCGAAGAATATACCGATTGATATATATATATATATATATTTTTTTTTGTTTAAGAAAATTGAAAAAAAATTGTTGTTGGAATTTGGTTAGATTATAAATTTATTCTTTCAACTTTGAAACTGTGTTTATTTGATTTCAAAATTATAATTTCAAAGTTTTATTAGATATGAAATTTAAATAAATTAAATAATGATGTGTTCCCATGATGAATGGCAAAATGGTAACTTTGTAGAAAGTGGGGGCGAAATGAGCATCACTTAAGCAAGCAAGACGGCCATTCGCCACATTCGTCTTTCGCATTCTTCACCCGCTAACCGGACGATTGGGCATCGCGAGTTTTAGCATTATCTCCCGATTGTCTCTTGAAGATCCAGTTTTGCAGTTATGGTGAGCGTTTCCCCTTCTTCAACCTCATTCCATTCAATTACGCTTCTTCACTGTTGAATGTCATTTCTCTCGTGTTTTCAATTCGCATAGCTTAGTTGTGAAACTTTTGATGGAATGCGAAATCCCTTCGGGTTTCCTTATTCTTCTGACATGAATTTCTGTTGTGAATTTTATTCGCGTGGTCGTCAAATGATTCTGTTCAGCTTTAGTTGTTGAATCGTCTTGTAACCTTTTGCTCACTTTGAACAATGCCCATTAGATCACCTAGGTTTTAGATACTAAAGGTTGGTTTGGGGTTCGGTTGTTGGTGACTTTCTTGTGGGGCTCATGTTTTCAACTTTTGAATCGATGGATGGTTCAAAGCTTCGTCTCCTCGTTAATGTGATAATGTGTTAAGATTTCAATCTCTCTGGGATTTTTTAAAAAGCTGCGGTTGTTGATTTGGTCGATGTCTGCATGCCATGTAGTATGGTGTGGTTTTGTAATTGAGAGATCGAATCTTCTCGATAGTGTGTGGATCCTTGTGTCTTCTCGATAGTATTTGCTTGTGGATCCTCCCTTTTTCATATGATTGTCTTTTCCTTTTGTCAAATCCCTTATTTTTCTCATGGGAGGATGAGCACACTTGACCATATCCAAATATTGTCTTCTGCCCTTCTAGGCCCTTATGGTGCAACGTGAATCATGTTCTAAGGGGGGTTCTTAGTTTCCTGAGTCAATTTGGGACATATTTTTGGAGGCTTTGGTGTCCAAGTGACCCGTATCAGTTCAGATAAGGCTGTGACGTAGTAGGTCTGATTCCACCCGTTTCGAGATAGAGGGATGTTTCTTTAGCATGTTGCTTTCTTTGTGGTCTTATGGAATATCTAGCTTGAAAGAAATAGAATGATACTTGGGTATGGAGAGTTCTAGGGGGGAAATTTGGGCCTTGGCTAGGTTTGCCTCCTTCTAGGTCTTGGCTACTAAGGATTTTTGCGATTACCCTTTATCCATCATCCTTTTGAGCTATAGCCCCTTTTCGTAATTTTGTATATTGTTAACTTTTTTGTTTTTGGGTCTTTTTGTATTGCCCTTGTATATTCTCTTAGTTGTGGCTGATTGCTTTTGGGAGGATAAAGATCATTTGACCGTGTCCAGGGACCAAAACATCATTTTTCTAGGTTATTTTGATCACTGTTTTATCTATAGATTGCTACTGATTTCTATTCCCATATAATTTTTACATACTCGAATCAGACTGTTAAATGTAATTGTCAATACTGAAGATGTTTGATGCTTGATCTTAATTCTTTTTCAAGATTGTCACCCACCACCTCCGGTGGTTCTTATTTGTTTGACTTATTATTGTTCATATTATTTGACTGGTTTGTTTTTGTACCATTGTGTGACAGTGTGAAATACACGTCTTACTCTTTTTGTCCTGCAGGATGGGCATGACTCTGAAGATCCGAAGCAAAGCACGGCTGATATGACGGTTTTTGTGAGTTCATTTTCTTTTCTTTTAGTTCATTCTCTCTGTTTATCCCCATTTGATTGTCAAGCCTACGTTATTTAAAAGGTTGGTGTTATAAGGTTTGTCATTTCCCTCTGACGTATACTCTTGTTCTGTCTAAAATTTGATTCATAAGGCATTCTTGATTGTTTCTTGCTGGTTTATAGATTGGTATTCACTGGCCCTTTTTTTTTGCAGGTGCAAAATCTTCTTCAACAGATGGTGAGTCTCAGTTAAGTGCAAGTCTCTGGCAGAGAAGTTTATGTCTAACAAAATCCTTTTTATGCAGCAATCTAGGTTCCAAACCATGTCTGACTCCATTATCACAAAGAATATCCTTTCTAAATAATTCTATTTATTTCTAGCATTTCTCTAAAGTCGTAATTATGATGATTAATTGTTTCCGATACGCTTGGATACATGTTGATTTTTGAGTTTTGCGAAATAACTCGTATATTTATTTATTCGTTTAATAGGCTAGATGGTGCAATTTCTGAGCATTATCATTTTCTTTCACTCTATCAAACAATGATCTGGTGAACATTATATCAGAATTCGTTTGACTTTCTAGTACAGCTTTTGGAAAAGAAGTAGATTGTAGGATAGCATAGCTTTCTTGTAATAACTTATAGTAAATAAGCTTTCCTTAACTTGAGTATACTCGATGAGATGGGGAGCCGCATAAATGAATTGGAGCAGAGCATCAACGATCTAAAATCTGAGATGGGTGTTGAGGGCTCACCGTCGCCGATGACTCCTTCAAAGTCGAGTGCAGATGAAGTGAAGAAAGATGAAGGTTCTGCCTTGAAATAGTTGAGAGTGTATGCTTTATTGTTGAGTTTGATAACTTGCAATATTCTCTTTTTGCTATTGCCTTTGTGAAATTGAAGCCAATGCTTAGGATGAAACAGAAAAGTGCAATATGTTCTAGACTTGTACTTGCTATTTCTGCATGATTTCTTATTGATAATATAGTGATGATTATACTCTATGATGACCTCATACAACTACTGCTCATCTCTGTTAACAAAAGTAAACACACAACTCGTTAGCTTCGGCAACGAGCAATAGCACTGCAGCCACGGTCGTAGGGGTTAGCCTCAGCACCTGGCTGGCAATTGTAGTAAGATGCTCCTCTGCGTGAGCATGGCACCTTGTTGGCCCTGAGCGCATCGTAGCTTATGTAGTTTACATCGGCCAATATGCGTCTATTGATTTCGGAGTCCATCTGAAATTCAATGTCGTCCATCATGCAGTCTGCCATGGAGCCATGACAGGTAGCTAGAGCTCGATCGAGGACCCAACTCGGGCCTTTTGTGGTGGTGGCCGATACTGCAGTGGAGAAGACGGTCAGGAATGCAGCGATGAAGCAAAATGGAAGGAGAAAAGAAAGCTTGGCCGCCATTCTTGCTTTATCTGCTATTCCTGGTATGTCTGTACAACCCCCTTGAATCCTTTATAATATGCAAGCAAGTTGGTTGGAATTGGTCTTCTGATTTTTGTTTATTATTTATATTTGTTTTGTTTTGATCCATGAAAATTGTCTCATTAATTTGGCTCTGTTCATGAAATGAAATGAGTTGAAAAATAGATTTATTTACACTCTTTATTTTCAAGCAAAGACTTCCTATGGGTGGAGTAGAGAATAATCTTTATTTTCAGTTTTTATTATTATATTAAAAGTCTAAACACAGGCTGGAAGCTTTGATTTAAATAATAAAATACTAATAAAAAATGTAAAATCAATGATTATACACAAGTATATATACTAAAAATACAGGATAAACTCATACCATACCTTATTTTATGAGTGTTTATTTAGTCTTGAAAATATTGAAAGTAGACTTTTATTATACCTAATTAATTTTAGTATTTAACATTAATATTGGTGGATACATATTGGCATAATTAATAAGCCATATTATTATATATATCCTTTGACGTTTTGTTCATTTTTGTCCTTATACCTTCGGCGGGTATGTACATTTTCGTATTAAAAAGTTTTTATTGTGCATAATATTTGCCCATAGGTACCAAAACGGTAACCTTTTAAGTTGAGACGAGCATTTTAAAATGAACCTCAACTAAAATGAACAAAGGTCGAAAGTCTAGGGACGATTATAAATTTGGTTCTTGTAAGTCGGTTGGGTTATATAGAAGTTTATTTTAGTGGGTCTCACATTCTATGATTTCATTTAGGCGGCTCAATATAATAATAATAATAATAATAATAATAATAAATAAGATAAAAGAAAAATAGATTGATCAACTACGCCAAGTATAATATAATTTCACATTTCATTTTTGGACTTTGCATTGCATATTATAATCCATTCATATTATAACAAAACACATTTTTCGTTTTATGAAGTTCACTAATTATTAATTAAATTGATATGAAGACCAAAGATTTAAAAAATAATAATTTTGGTGATCAATATTATGGTTTCGCATATTATTAAATTGGATAATATGGTTGGTATATATATTAATGTATCAATATAGACATAGTAATAATGTTAAATAAGTATGTGTATTATTGAGTGACACCAAAATGATTATTTTATTATTTTTAAGTCCGAAAAGTTTAAGGAGTAAATTAGTTATTTTTAGGATATATAAAAATTTTCTCTATTTTTTTATGCATATATATATATTTAAAAAATATTGATTTTAAGAAAATTTTTAATGGATAATTTCTCGTCCTATAAATTTAATAATATTTTATGAACATAATATGAAGTAGAATATATTAGTTAAGAGGGTTTTAAGACGGATATTGTATGGAAATAATTTAGGGACTTCTTCCGTTATCGGTAGAGTTCATCACAACCCATTTTAGTCATCATCTGCTGCACCAACAATTAACAATTTCGACTAATGGCAGCTTTTGGCGTACAAATGTGGGCTGAATCAAACAGGATTCTCTCCCTTTTCGCCACTTCTCTGTCTCCGATTCACATCCCTCAAATTCAAGCTCAGCTCATCGTTCAAAACCTCCATTCAAATCCCACCATTGCCCACCATTTCATAAACACTTGCCATGATCTTCGACTTCTCGATTCCGCTCTTCGCTTCTTTACTCAAATCCCCAAACCCCACGTCTTCGTCTGCAATTCCTTAATCAGAGCCTTCTCCCACTCCAAAATCCCCCGTACCCCTCTTTCCATTTACGCCCACATGAACAGAAACTCCATTCTTCCCAATAATTACACCTTTCCTTTCCTTCTCAAATCCTTGGCTGATTTCAACCACCTTGTGAGTGGACAATCTGTTCATGCCCACGTTGTGAAATTGGGCTATGTTTCTGATGTTTATGTGCAGAATTCGTTGATGGATGTTTATGCGTCGTGTGGGAGAATGGGGTTATGCAAGAAGGTGTTCGACGAAATGCCTCTGAGAGATGTTGTGTCGTGGACTGTTTTGATTATGGGTTATCGAGTTGCTTTGATGTTTGATGATGCTTTGATTGCGTTTGAGCAGATGCAATATGCAGGTGTGGTGCCTAATCGTGTGACGATGGTTAATGCATTGGCTGCCTGTGCAAGCTTTGGAGCCATTGAAATGGGTGTTTGGATACATGAGTTTGTAAAAAGGAGAGGGTGGGAAATGGATGTGATTTTGGGGACTTCTTTGATTGATATGTATGGGAAATGTGGAAGAATCGAGGAGGGATTGGTTGTTTTCCAAGCCATGAAAGACAAGAATGTGTATACATGGAATGCACTCATTAACGGGCTGGCATTGGCCAAAAGCGGAGAGGAGGCCATTGCTTGGTTTAAGAGAATGAACGAAGAAGGCGGCATTGAGGCAGATGAAGTGACATTAGTGGCAGTGCTTTGTGCTTGTAGCCACTCTGGCTTGGTGGACATCGGCAGGCAGATCTTCGGGTCGATGATTGACGGTAAGTTCGGGTTTTCACCAGGAATCCAACACTATTCATGTATGGTTGATCTCCTGGCTCGTTCTGGGCGTATTGAGGAGTCCTTTGAATTGATTAAGAATATGCCTTTTGATGCCACCAAAGCAATGTGGGGGTCTTTGCTAGCTGGTAGCAGAGCTCAAGGGAGCTTGGAAATGAGCGAATTTGCAGCACGGAAGCTTGTAGAAATGGAACCAGAGAATGGTGCTTATTATGCTGTTTTATCCAATATCTGTGCAGAGATGGGGAAATGGAATGAGGTTGAGAAAGTGAGAGAGATCATGAAAGTGGAAGGACTGAAGAAGGATCTGGGGTCGAGTTCTGTTGAGAGCTTCAAGAGGCTGCCCCATTTCCCATGGTATCGAGTTCCGTGGTCATGATAACCGAGGTCTCACTTGTAATGACTTTGTAAATGCTTAAAAAGCTCTTGGGCTCATGATCTCCCTCATCGCCTTTGTACTCGAAACAGATGCGTTGCGCTAACCAGCGCGTAACCTTCCTTTCCCTATCCCTCTTCTGGTTATACCATTACCAATCTCAGGTAACCCCCGAGCCGGCTGCCCTTGACCTAAGAAGAACCAATATCCTTATTACCAAATAAGGACTAGCTTACTTCTCCGATCTCCACCTGAAACTTGTTGGGCCATTTTGACCATCCCTGATCCTAACTAGACTAGATAAGGGTTAGGAGATTCTTATTAGTGTAGAATAGTCATTTTCTCTAAGTCGCGCGAGACTGAGTGGCAACAACATGGAATAACTTCTTGAACGGAGACGAGTTGCAGAGTTCCATCCATTGTTGGGCGTCCATAGTTTTCTTAGTAATGGAGATGCTAATTGGTAGCAGATTTGAAGCTCCCATTAAATACTTGTGAGCCTGTAATGGTTTGAGCTCCAAAGCAGAAAGGAGGCAGTGAGAAGTCTTGGAAAGCTGCATTGGTTACAGGTAAAACTTTTTATTAATTTATAAAATTGACACATTTTTTTATTAATTTAGCATAAATTAAATACAAAACTCTGTCGTTTTGTAAGTGAAGTGAAAGAGCAAGGGTAATAATCAGGTGGCTTAGCGAGTACCTGGGCTCGCCTTTAAAAGTAGCTTCTAGAGAAATTAGGGTTTTACTTATTTATGATAAACTAGTTTTAAAATCTTCATTTATTTAATATATCTCATATATTTAATTAATTATAATTAAACTCTTAATTTTGTATTATTAGATTTACAAATTTAAAAAAAAATTAAAAGTTTAACAACTATTTATAATTTAATAATTATTTATTGAGTTTATATTTTACTCGAAAGTGACCGTACACGTCACCTAACACACGGCCTTCTTTGATTGGTTCAAATATTTGGCCCGGATTTTCCATTTGTTCAGACGTGTAAACTTTGACCTCTTTATTTTATTCTTCCCCCCCCTTTTTTTTTTCATTCAAATTTTCCTTGTAAAAAAATGAATATTATAATCTAATTTAATATATTTCCATAAATTCTTTTATAGTAAGGTTAGAAATTAATTTATTTCCATTGATTTTTGTATAAATAATAAATTAGTGTCGCTAACATGGGTAATTTTTACATTTATCTTAAAATAACCATTTATTTCTTTTTTCTTATTTTGGATTTATTTTCATTATTCAATTGACAACACAAAAAAAAAATTGTTGTTAGCTCTTTGACAACGAAAAAAACCCAAAAAAAGCTCTCCACTAACTCTTTGACATCGAAAAACCAAAAAAAGCTCTCCCCCTAACTCTTTCGAAAAACCAAAAAAAGCTCTCTAGTCAAGAATTGGGGCCTGACAATCATTAGCATAATCACTAGCTATGCTTTTCTCTCATGCCTTTCTTTCTTTGTTCAGGGTTCAATATTCCGGCGTCCTAGGCGTAGAGGAACCACACCACCAATCCATCCCAAACTTGGTGGTTAAATTCTACTGCGGTGACAGGTTCAATATTCTAGCGTCCTAGGCGTAAAGGAACTACACCAATCCATCCCAAACTTGGTGGTTAAATTCTATGGTGACGGTCCTAGGCGTAAAGGAACCACACCAATCCATCCGAACTTGGTGGTTAAATTCTACGGTGACAATACTACATCCCGAATTTGGTGGTTAAATTCTACTACGGTGACAATATTGCAAGGCGATGATAAAAAGCTTAACACCTCTAATTCTAAGATCTTAGAATCCACCCGAGCCTTCCATTTTTACTTCCCATAAATTGGATTATTTTGAATTTTTTTAATTTAATGAGTGAAGTAAACTAACTACCACTTTATGCACAACTTATTTTTTTATTTTCTTAAAAAAATGTAAAGTAAATATCAGTTGATTAGTTAAATTAATAAAATATAAAATCATTTGGTCTTAATTATACTTTAAATAGAAATGAATTTGATTGCTACCTTGAATCACATCATAATCAAATTATTGTGAATACTTTATCCCATATAATAAGATCTTATCTTAACAGCAAGACTCAAGACTTTGATGTTATCACTAAAAAATAAGACCAAAACTCCTTTAGATTGTTAGCACTCCACACGCTCAAAGTTACTATCAATGTTCATATGAAGTAGGAAGAAAACAAACTCAGAGATCTAATAGTTCATCATGTATAGCAACCAATTCCTCTGAATATGAATGATAATCACACAGATCCAATTCATCATACTCAGAAGCACCAAGCTCGTTACATGATGATACACACACAAAACAGAGAGGACCTACAGAGAAGACACTACCACAGTACAGTCTTTTATTCAAGTTTGTGATGATATGATCAGCACAAATCAAGACCCATCTGCAAAGTCTAAGGCTCCATCACTTGCGGAGAGCAAGAACTTTGGCCCAAGATGGCCTGGCTATGATATCACCCACCCAAGCATTGACATGGGGTCTAGATTCAAACAGTTTCTTCGACGGTGTAGCCAATAGGTAGCCTAATACGGGGAGATGGTGCAGATCAGCCAAGCTGAAGGAGTCACCTCCCAAGTATTTGGACCCGGACAGCCTTTTCTCGTAGATGTCAAGAACTTGGCCTAAATCAGCCTCGCTTTTCTCAACCACTGCAGGATCTGCATCACCCAGCCCAAATAATGGCTTTAGGCAGAACTCGAACACCAGTTTCATGGCTACTGGGTCAAAATGGTGGCTCTCCACCTCGATCCACGTTAACACGACCGCCCCTTTCTTGGAGTCTTTCGGAATCAACTCGGTTCCGTTGCTAGCATAATTTCCCGAGATATACTGAGTGATCGCCCTGGATTCTACACACAAAACATTTTATCAAACACCTTGTGTGCAAAGCCACAAAAACCCACGATTCTCGAAGTAAATCTTACCAAAAAGCGTCAGATCCCCATCGTTAAACCCAGGAACTTGACCAAAGGGCTACAACCAAAATCAAAATCGAAATCAAAATCAAAATCAAAATCAAACCAACAAAACATTCAGGTAGTGATAACCCCAGAAATATCAAATCAAAGAAAACCAAGGCAAGGGAAATGGCTAAAAACCCACATTGATTGAGAGGAAGGGCTCTTTCTTGTGTTCCCCTTCATGCAACTTAACATTAACAAGCTCGAATTGAAGGCCCTTTTCGTAGAGGGCAGCTAGAACCCTAGCTGTGGCTGTAGAAGTGGGGATTCCGTGAACTTTAATACCGGCCATTGACACGAAAACAGGATTAGCGATGAACTAAGAGAAAAGGAAGATCGTGGGGAAAATGGATGTGAATTTGTGAAGGAAAATGGTAAATTATATATAGAAAAAGAGGTGGTGGGTAGGCGGTTTGATTATTACACTGATCACCGCCAGTACGGCCTTGGCCACCGCGCTTCCACACACAGTCAATGACCAATATGATGCTTACACGTGTCAAAGTTTGTTTTAGAAATAGTCTCTAGTACCTAAAAAACGTGGCCCGTGATTTTACCTACCCCATCTTAAAGAGTACTAGAAAAATAAATAAAATACTAGAAAAAATAAATAAATATCATATAAATAAATAATATTTTTTACTCAATTTATTTTAATTTATTAATAATATAGTTTAGGTTTTTAGTTTATTTGGCAATTATCTTAATAATTATTTTAATGAAAATAATAAAAAGATGTATATTTAGAAAATAATTTAATGGATACCCTAAAGATATAATATTTCTTATTAATTATTGAAAGATTTATGAAATATTAAAAACTGATATTATAAAATTGAAAATAATAACAACATTTAAAAAAATAAAGTGGGAAGTTTTTAAATTTAACAATTATGACGTTGAATTATTTTCTTTTGTGCTGCGAATAATGAAATATCATGAATGCGCCCTTTCCCTATTTTATTTAGCACGTGCTTTTTTTTTTCACAACATTTAAATTTTATTGCTCTTACTTTTTCCAAGGCTGCAAACACTTTTTTTTTTCTTTCTTTTTTACTCTACCATTTATTTATTTTTTTTTTTTAAAGATTTTTTATTTATTTTTAATATACATATTTTAAAATATTTGTTTAAGGGATAATTTCGGTTAAAAAGCGTAAAATATTTTAATATATTTTAAAAAATATAATGTAACAGTCGCTAACTCAAATTTTAATATTACAACATAAATTTTAATATTACAATATAGTTATATGTATGAAATTTCCACGAGATTAAATGAACCTCTCATGAAAATAAATGGTAAATTTTACGAAGATAAAAATTGAAAAAAGTGTCGAAAATAGAAATAGATGAAGTTTTCGGTCCTGTCTTGCTTAAACTTCAAATGAAACCGACAATTTGTGGAATTAAGTTATTATTAAATTAACTTAATGGATCTAATAGATGAAGGTTGATCAAATTAACCTACTCCCAAGGTTAGAATAACTATATAGAAATCTTCAACCAACGTTTAGATTCTTTCCAATTATTATTTTTTATTTTTATTTGTAGTTCCGTTTCCACCTACCACCCACCCACGTTGAACTTAAAAAATAAATAAATTAAAAAAATGTCTAATAAATATTTAAGTTTTTAATTTTTAATTTTCAAATGATATAATTCTGATGTCTACTAAAATTTTAAATTTCATAAAATTGAATTATCAATTTATATTTTAAGTTAGAAATCTCTCATTTAATATTAAAAATAAAGATTATTTACTAAAATATTTTAAAAACAACCCTATTGGATAAAAGAAAAAAGAGGAAAAAAAAAACTCGGTTGGCCTTTTCCAAGGATCGTACTAATGTTTTTTTTAATGATTATTTTTGTTTTTATTGAAACACCAATAATCCACACATGGAGAAAATTTCAATTAATTATTTTCAAATGTTTTTTTTATTATTTATTTTAATCCTCTTCCATTAGATTCTTCCAAAAAAAAAAAAAAAAAAACAAAAACAAAATTGATTTGTACAAAATTAAAATCTCTCAATCCCGTCTAATATTCAAATAAGATAAAAAAAATTAAAAAAAATTTAATTTTGGCATCTATGTGTCCAAACATTCTCCTACGACATGAATATGTTACTTATTTTTTTGCTTCTAAAAGTAAAAACTACGTACCTCCACAAACAAACACGTGACCTTTCAACATGATTTGATTTGCGTGCGTGTAGAATCCAAATGACCAAACTATAGCCTTTTCTCTATGCCACCATCAAAGGCATGTGTTTCTTGATCCATTTTCTATTGCAAAAACCTCCTCATATTCTAACATGGAAGCTGACAGAACACAGCCAAATGCAAACATTCATAACATTCCAGTAGGGAAGCAAACAATGGCAATACCTGGACATATGTATAGACCTTTGACAACTCTACAAGGATGGAAACTTATCCTAAATGGCACCATTCAAAACACACATGGCTAGATTGGTTAGTAAAGGTTTCGACCAATTATCCGGGTCGAGTTCTGCTATAACTTACAGCCCAGAAATCAAATCTACCTACTGTTCTCCAAAAACACGGTGTATACGAACCAATGCCTATTCCGAGCAACTGCTATGATAAAAACATATCCTGCACTTGATCTTAGCCAAAAGGCCTAGAAAGGTATATCAAAAACTGCTATGATATTCAATTGCAAGCCTTGTCTTACCCAACTTGTTGACATGTCTTTGTACCTCAAAGACACTGAATGGTACATTACGTTGTCATTCAAATCCTCATTATATTACAACAAAGTTATCTCAAGAAATCTCACGAGCCATGTTTTCATCTCTCCATCCCCCCCCCCCCTTTTTTTATGTATTGCAAATAAGACAAGTAAAATTAAATATGAACATTAGTGGCAATAGTAGCATTTTTTTTCTTTTCTTCCCTTTCCCCTAAGACAGACACAGGCCAATCTATACATGTGCATCGATCTATTTACAACATGCTTAGGAGGAAGCAGGAAAATGCATACATACGACATAGCCGAAGTAAAGAGAATATTGGGCTAGAAGGCTTCCTCTGGCATTAGAAAGTTGTGATATTCAAGCTGTGTCATCTCACCTCCGTTCACTGAATCAAATTGGCATCGGTAGAAGCTGCATACAATTAAAAATGGCACATCAAGATTCTAAATATTCAAAGCGGCAGTTAAACAAACAACCAAACAGAACATAGAAATGCATGGTGTAAAAGAAAATGGATTCTGTAAGTTTGGGCAGTGGAAGAAAAGAAGATCTGAAGGGGAGTCGCTAAGAATACCAGATTGAATGGAAGCTTTCACAATTTAGGGTAATGCTGAAAATATAATGAAGCAAATAACCAACGGTTCGAGTTAAAGCAGAAAAGGAATTGTCTATTTGCGTCTATGAAAACAAAAAACGTTCACATTAACTATATTTTTATATGATAACATCGAATTTCTAGTTAGGTTACCCAAGCAACCCCCATCTTACTTTCTATTCTGCATAATAATCGCATAATAATCGTCAAGTGCACGAGAAATAATGAGAAAAGGGCTACAAAGACCTATTACCTTCCATCCATTCCAAGGATTACGACTGTATTCTTCTGATGACCAAAAGCAACAACATACTGAGAGCCTTCATGCAAGCGAAACTGAGCCACAGACCACTCTGACTTGAAATATTTTGGCAAGACACCTACAGGTGCAAGAGAGGAGAGATCATTATATCCAGAGGTTTAAAAAGGACATTGGACGTTACTTGCCATTAATAGGTTACAACATAATAAGGCTAATCTCCAATCTCTTTGCTTTCATGGGGTATTGCTGGCTGTTCTTATTCTTCTAGCAATCATTGAAAGAAAAATGTGGCGGACAGTGTCAGCCCAACACTTAATTCTGTTATCTTCTAGTCTTAAGCGTTCTCTTTTAGAGGGTGCAAGTAAATTTCCCCAGCTGTTATACTAAGCGATTAAAAAGCAATTCGAAGCGATTAAAAATGTTTGTATTACCTTTGATGAAGGAAAAGGAGGAGCCAGATGGTGCCACAGAAAGAGAGGAATCGTTTTGATGAGACATATCATTCCCAAGAGATCCAGAATTGACTTTAAGGCTGAATACATGGACAGTACCCTTGTCACTGGACACTGCCAGCCATTGGGCAGTCGATGAGAAAGCCAAACTGTATATCTCTGCTCTATCTGCACCTCTCCTTACCTATGCATCACATCCAGATAATACAAAGTAAATTCGTTGTCATGTTAAGTACTTCATAAACGACTAACGAACAAGATTACAGCTTCGTTTTCAACAACAAAACTAGAGTTCAACATCCTCATTACACTGAAATTCTAACAATTCAGAACAATCCCAGAAGAAAAACTTCGTTTTCAAGAACATTAACGCACCTCTTGAAGCAAATTTCCATCAACTGTGTTGAATATCCGAACCAAAGTTCCCTTGGTGCTCGCTGTAGCAAGTAACTGCCCGTTGGTCGTAAGCGCGAAGCAAGCAATCCTCGAGTCGTGAGCCATAATAAACTTTGTCCGTCGAGAGGCATAATGCTCAACCCTAACCTGCCCCTTCTGCAGTCCGGGGCAGACAAGCACAAGCGAAGTACTCAACTGGGAAACAGCACAAAGACCCTTAGGGTTTGCAATCGTTTCGATCTGATGCAGCAACTTCAAGTCCGCAAAATTGTACACAAAAACCTTCTGCTCCAAAATAACAATAATCCGGTCTCTCTGTAGACGAACACCGCGAACAGCAGACCTAAACGAAAGCTCACCAATACACCGGCTCTGATGGTCATCCCAAATCATGACCTTATTACATGGATACTGAGGGTCAGGCCCACCACCAACAAGAGCCAAAATATTACACCGAAAAAGCATCTCAACGACGCCAATACCACCCCCACGGTCAAAATCCCTCCGGAAAATCTCACGGAATGGATCGCAATTGTAGATCCGAAACCCCCGGTCAGTCCCCGCAGCGAAGCAGCCATGGTCCTGATTGAAGGAGAGATGTAGCAGAGAAGGCTGCGAAGCAGCCGGTTCAACCGCCGTGGACGAAACGGTCGTCTCCACCGTCTGCGGCAACTGGGGCAGCAACTGAGGCGGCTCCGATGAAACTGAATCGGAATCGAAGCGTTCGGATTCAGCGACGGCCGGCGGAGGGTTGGGTTCGGGATTCGGCCATGGAGGCGACGGGAAGGCTGAGAGGGTCTCCATTAGAGACGGAGGAACGGAAAATCAGAGAAACTGAGGTTCAGATGAAAACGAAGATGGAGGAATCTTAAGACATGATTTAGAAGAAAACGCAGAACAAATTCGAGCTTCGAAGGATTGGGGATTGTGTGAAGTTACGAATTTGACTTCAAATCGTAAAGTAGCTCTAGAGGGTGCTTGGGGGTACTTTCGTCTTTTCAGACACCTGCTGATTCCGCCCCTATTCGGCGAGTGAGCGACACGTAGCTTTAAATGACGTAATTAGCTTTGTTCTCCAGCGAAGCGAGTTAGAAAGTCATCCTGTCGGCTTGGGATTTAGGACTAACAATAGAGGGGTAATTTTGGAAAACTAATTTGGAAAAATTTCCCTCTAATTTAATTAAATTTAAAGTTTAATAGTTTGTGTTAATTTATTATTTAACAATTTAAACAAAAATTAATTTATATTTAATAGATATATTAATTTTTTAATTTCTATATTCATGAATCTATTATTGCTATTAGTTAGAAAATTTTGTTTAACATACATATTAAAATTTCATATATTTAATTACATTATTCAATTATTTATTTTTATTAAGTTAAAATACTAATTTACTTTAAATTTTTAGATTTTTTAATTTATTTTGCCATGGTTCTCAATAAATTTATATTTCAAAAATTAACTCCAATAAATATAATTATGAAATCTTATAAATTATTTTAAATAATATACAATTACGGTAAAAAAATAATTCAAAAAAATTGTAGTTCATTATTATTAATTATAATTTTAACTTTTAAGTTAATTAATTAGGCTTAAAATTATGATATATTTCGATAAATAATTAATTAATTATCAATAATCAATAAATAATTAGTTATAAGTATTGAAAATTAACTTCTTTTCTTCTTTAGCTAACTAATCCAAATTAATTATCATCCATCCTCAAGCTTGAGCCACGTAAATCAAGCCCATCCGATATCGACCAATCCAAACCGTAGATCTGAAGTATCACCATCCAATCAGTGGGGTCTATTCCCATTCCCAACGAATTCGCCATAGTCTCGGCTACACACAATCACTACTCTCCCCGCGCAATATGAATTATTTTACAAACGACGCCAAAAATATATATATTACATTTAACTCTTATTGGGCACAACCCTCTTCTACCGCTGCTTGCTTCCAGGACTAGCTTAATCTGAAGAACCGGCGGGAATCAACGCTTCCAAAGCTCTCCCCTCATCATCTCCTAACTCTGAGGATAGAGATTCCATCTGTGAGTTCGGTATCGATTTTTTCTTCCTCTTTACCATTTATGAGTTCGTTTGATCTGCTGTTGATGAATCAGGGAGAGTATTTGATTGTTTTCTGTAATCTTTCTCGACGTGTTATGAGATGGACGTTATTTCCTGTTCGAAGTAGTATAGCCTGTGTTTTCTAATCATTGAATTCTTTTTAGCGATTACCTTTATTTTTACTGAGTTTTCTATCACTTTAGCTAACGAATTAGTTAATTTTAGCTTCTGTTGATGGATGTAGAGAGTAGTTGATTATTTGTTGTTATATTACCATGGCTTAATTTTTTCATTAGTTGAGAAACGGTAGTCATCTCCTGTGACAGGAACTTGAATAGCCTGAATAATGTAGCATGATTTGCTAGTAATAGAATACTTCCAGAAATTAATTTGCTCGTTAGTATTGAGATTGGTATGCATGGAGGAAAATGATATCTGGTGAGATTGTAGGCTGCACTGTAATTGACCATATCATTTTTGGTGTTTAAATGGAGTTCTAGATATCTAGACATGGATACTGCTCTTCATGGTTTGAAAACGAGCAACTCTACATTCAAATGGAGCTCTGTGATTATAGTTTATCCATTGGCAGGTATTCTCACCCATTCTCTGAGGTAAATGCACTGAGAGCCTCTGTATCAGGTGAGTTTTAGTTCCATCTTGAATTTTTAAACATTGCATTTTCTTTTTGTAAAACTTCATTGCCAAAAATATTGCTTTTGTTAACGCATTTAAGTAGGCTTAATTTTTATTTGTTGCCTGGAAGAGTAAATTAGTTATTTCTGCACTTCATTCAATTCGTTGCTTTCAACAGGAAATGCCACTTCTGAAAAATAATGATCCAGAATTTTGTTGTAAATTATGTGTTAATGTTTTATCTTTATCCATTCCAATCCTCATGTTGCCTTTATATTTAATACATGAGCTTTTTCCTTTCCAATTTTCAAGTTCTAGAACTGGGAACTTCTGAAACTTCACGGCTTTGCTGCTGAAAATGAAACTACAAACAAATTGCAAAGGCATTACTATTTGTGCACGAGAAAAGATTAGCTCATTTAGATGTGAAACCTGACAGTATATATTGTAAAAAATGGTGTTTATAAACTTGATTTTGGGTGTGCTACCTTTCTGAAAAATGCCTACCGATTGAGGAGGGTGATGCACACTATATGCCTCAAGAAATTATGAGTGAAAGATATGATATGGTCATTCATTGCAATTTCAAAATTGCCACTCCTTCCTGGTCATTCATTGCAATTTCAAAACTTAATCAAGGTACTGATTAATTGAACTGAAAAATCAGATGTCGGAGTCAAATTTTGCTCTTTCCTTCGAACTCATGGAGAAAGTCTTTCTAAATCTTCTTCCTATTTGATGCTGGATTATTAGATTTAGTTGTTGCCTTCTATACTTTCGAAGACCTCTCTCAGGATATGCTGAACCATCATCAAAGTAAGTCCAAGCCCATGTAAGAAGGGCCTTGTTGACTTGGAAGCCCTTTCCTTACTCCTCGCTATAGTCTAGAATCACATTTTTTTGGCCAATTCTCATGGCTTTAGGAATGGGCCCCAGGCTAGGGTGTAATCGAATTTCTCTTTTCAATGGGATTCGTTTGTTATATTTTGCTCTCTTCATATCTACCGACTTTGCCTTTTGGCCTGATAGGCCTCGACTCACCCTCCTAGGATGATGAACCTTGTCGTGGAATCTGGTCACCGTATTTATCAATGTTTGCATTTCTTCCCACAAATTTTGCTTTCCATTAAAAACGTCTATCATTGTAAGAAGGTCAAGACTTCTGCCACCAAAATAAAATTGAACGAAGTTGCATTCCTACCTTCCAAAAGATAAAAGGAAGCTGCAGTTATTTTTTTTTCTTAAGAAGATATCTCCAAATCCTGTTAACCTATGATGCATGTATTTAGATGAACAAATGTTTTCTTGTTTTGTCAGATTCCTCGTTCTGCAAATAACAATCTATGTTTACCAAAAGGAATATTTGATTTTGTTTGTTTGTTTGAACCGTCTGAATATTTAATGCTCTGTTGGGGTTATTTTTGAAAGATGGAATCATTAGATAAATAAAGCAGGCATATCTTATCAAAATGAACTAATTTTAGATGGTCTTTTAGCTGTCTGTTCTACATTTGTGTAGTTTGATCAGATTGCTTATATTGTTTGAGAAGCCTGATTTTATCAGTCCAGCATAATTCATCAAACAAAGATGCATAAGATGTATTATTCTGTTTCTCTTCAAGTCTTTGAGCGGTAAACTTAATAAAATAAATTCTCAAATAGCCTTTGAGTGAATGAAGTCCAACTTAATACAGAGAAGAACTATTTGATATCCCATATCCCATTTGGAAGAGAAATTATAGAAGAATCTTACATCTGATAAAAGCATGGATTCTTGATTGCCTTTGTATGACGATGAGGAAATGTTCACTATTTACTTCATTATCTTGAAACTTTATTAGAGATGTTCAGGACCTTCCCATTTCTTAGCTACTTGTTTCTTTGATTGAGTGATTGATTTATAACTCTAACAGGCTATGTTGGATCCCGAACCGACACGACGTCCTTCGGCAAGGGAAATTCTTGAGACTCCCATATTAGATAAGGTCAGAAATCATACCAAATCTTAGGACAATGTCAACCATGGTATCATCTTATTGTGTTCTCTTTTTCTCAGATGTGCTTTGTTTGTGCAATCCCTTGATATCAGCCTGCTATTTTGTTAGTTTGCAATCCCCACTTTACCAAAGTTCATGCACCAAATTTAGCCTAAAAGTGCTTTCGTTTTCAAATATTTGAAGTCTGAAGGCATGTTTAAGAGCCATTTTGAAAGGATTAAAACCACATTCAAGATGTAAAATAAAAAATTTAATTGATTTTGAATGATTCAAGATATTTTTTGATTGCGTAATTAAAACGTTCCTCCCTATATAGTTATAATACGTGTAATATGTTGCATTTGATGGTTTAGGAAAAAACTATGAATATTAGTGATTATGCCTAAATAAATACAGTTTATATTTGTATGGTTTGTTGGGATTTTGAGATGATTAGAATATTAATGAATATGCCTAAATAAATAGAGTTTAGATTTTGAGGATCGTTCCTTCCCAAACAAACCATACATTTCCACCTACCACAGAAGAAATAAAGTTCAATCAGCCAAAACTAGAAAAGAGGCAAAGCTAGTTATTATGCAAAACTTAGAAGCTTTTGCTGGCTTTTCTCTATGTTTACGAAATCAAAGAGGAAATAATGGCAATCAAAAGGGTCTAAAAAGATGGTTTCTTGTTTTCCTTGCATACAATTTCTTCAAATTGTTCAATTTGGTTACTACAAAAGCACATTTATTGATTGTTTAGAAATTGATTCAACATTGCTTGTTTGTGTTAGAAATGGCTAAGATAAATGAATTCACATTCTCTGTCTCATCTTTCTTTTTTTCTTTTTTCTTTTGTTGAAAAGGGAATTCAATATTTTTTGTTAGTGGAGGATGAAGAAAGAATTTATTGTGACAAAAATTTCCTTATTAAAGTTGGGACAATTTTCTTATGGAAATAATGAATATTTTGCTTATTCTTTTTCAGACAGGGACTTTTTTGTCCAAATTTTTGACAAATTTAATCGACTCTCGTGACTACTACCTCTTATATAAATATGTAGGTAAAAAATGCTGAAGGTCAATATAATTTCCTTTAAAATAGAAACAGAATTATCTCGATGATCAATATCTATAGTAAAGAAAATTCGTTCATAAAATCATCGTTTTATGTACACTACGTTAAGCTAAAATCGCATATTTAATAGCATACGCTCCATATAACTAAAGCCATAATCAACCACTAATCCACCAAAAATCATGAATTCAAAATAATAATAATAGTAATAATAATAATAATAAGGATGTCATCTAATATATTTTTTCTTTTCCCTATAAATGATATCACACCCTTCACTTCCATTAATACATCACCACCTCTCTATCTCTAAAAAATTACTGGAGAAGTAGAAATAAACAACCCCAACAACAGTCCCAAAATACGCTCATTGCCAAAACTACGCCGTTTCGATTCATTAGACATCGAGTCAAACAACCTCGACGGGCGCCGTGGCCATCGCGCCACTGCCTCCGTGGCGGCTGCGGGCTGGTGGGTGTCTCTGCAACTGGCCTTTCAGAGCATTGGAATAGTGTACGGAGATATAGGAGCGTCGCCGTTGTATGTTTTTCCGAGCACTTTTGATCCCTTTGGTTAAGTACATCTTCATCGTCTTGCAGACCAACGACAATGGCATTGGTACGATTTTTTATTTTTTATTTTTATTGTAAGCTAACGACAATGAGAATGTTTGCTTAATTCATCGCATCTAAATGATGTATGAAAGTTCTCCATCTATAATCAAATAAATAATAAGAATATGAAAATAGTAATAAATATAAATAATAATATATGAAAAGATAGTAATATGATAGATATTTACCCTACAAAACTATAATTTAGTACTAAACATCCTTAACATTAAGTACGTCTTCATCATCTTGCAGGAACGACAATGGCGATGGTACGATATTTTATTTTCTTTTTGGACTTCGAGTTTTTAAAATAAAAATAATTATTACTTGTAAATAATATTAATAATAATGCAATATTACTCTGATAAAATACTCGAGTTAGTTCCAATATTTTTCAATTTAGTTTCAATGTTCTATGACATAGAGAAAAAATATTATAAAAAATCATTTAAAAATAATAATAAATGAGATATTTTGAAAATTGAAAACATATTGATTCCCAAGTCCCAACATATTTCAAAAGAACCCCTTTTGACCAATTAATATCACATTTATTAAATACTTTTGTTTTTTCCCCAAACAATTGGGAAGTCCCATTAGACACTTCAAATTAATTTAATTATTATACAAATACACTTTAAATATAAATAAGATTAAAAAATTGCAAAATTACTCTCTACAAAGGGGTAAATATGTAATATTACAAAGTTGAATTTTTTTTTTCAATATTTATTATAAAAGAACAATTTTTTTAAACTAGAGGGGTAAATTTGCAAACTTTGCAAATTAGAGGGTGTAATTTGCAAAGATAATTTAAAATCCTCATGAATTTTTGTTCATAGTTAGGGAAGCCATTTTGTCGTTTTGCAGGGAGTTGGTAGAGAGTCAATTTCTCCTTTGGAATTATTTTGCAGAAAAAATTATTTTTTTAAAAATTGCAATTAATGTAAATATGGAAGAGTTGTATTTCATTTTACTCTCTTTGTTTTGACTTTGCAGTTAAGTTCTTGTGTTTGTAATTATTGCAGTTTTGTCACCTGTTGGAGGCATTTTAATATTTAGAAAAGTTTCGGGTCTATTTGGTAATTATTTTATTTTTGCTCTTCATCACTATTTTTTACTATAATTTACTTATTTTATTATCTAAAAAAAGTAATAGATATTATTGGTTTTTTTTTTTTTTATAAAAAAAATAGTATTTTATTATTTTAAAAATGTGGGGACCAACTGGTATATAATGGTAAGAATCTAAGGACTAAATATGTAATTATTTGAAATTAGGGTTTAATTTATAATATTAGTTTGATAAATCTTTTAATTTCTTTAGTTATTAATTAAAATATCAAAAAAAAAAATTTAAAAAAAGAGAAATAAATAATAATAAACTATTGAGAGGTCAAATTATTCTTGAAAAAAATAATTAATTAATTTTCTATAATTTGCAGACGAAAATAAGAGTTTAAGTCTAATCTTAAAAGGTAATGATTTGTTTAGTGGTCGTAAACAATGGGTCCAATTAAAACAACATAAACCTACTAATGCTAATCCTCGTAGAGTTCTAGGCCTTGCTCTTTTCTACACCGAGCTCGTGCAAGAGATTCCTCCTATTTTCAAGCTTTACATGGCAAACGTGTCAGCCCTTCATCATGTCCTCGTCTTCGTCTCGATCAAGTCATTGCCTATAAGTAAGGTCTCGTTAGACAATGGGTTTCTCTTTTATAGGGTTGAGCCAAGAGAGCTTAATATCTTTCAATGCATCATACAATATAGATACACAAACGGTCACAATGAGCGAGAGTCATTCGAGAAGAGAAAAGGGTTTGATAAAGCAAAACGGCGTTGTTCACTTGGTTGGAAAAAGTGAAATTGTTCCTCACCAGCGTTTTGCTTAAACTACAATCCAAACTCACCGTTTGCAGATATTATTGAATGTTAATAAGAAAATGAATTTTTTAAAGTCTTTGGAGAGTTAAATGCACGCAGAAATAAACTATTTAAAATGAAATAATAGAATTAAAATTTTAAATAATTGGTTTTTTAGGAATTTAATTTTCAAAATTTATAAATTAGTAAATATATTTATAATTAAATTTATTTTTTAATTTAATTCTGATTTAAATAAAAAGGAACAAAAATATCTTATTCACCGTGTGGGAACAGAGCCATCCACTATTTGCACGTTACAAATTGGGAATCGTAGGGGTGACGTGGCACAATTCTATTGGGCATTCATTTGTGACTTTTCCACTGCATGGTGGAATTATTGTAGTCGTCTACGCATGGAGAGTCAAGGAAAGAAGCTTCTCTCCATTGAAATTTTGAGGATCAAAATGCAAATAAACAAATTTTAAAGGACCTTCCTTGAATTTTCCATTTTTTTCCCAAAAATAAAAAAATAATTTAAGTACTTTTTTAGAAAATTATGATAATAAATGTTTTTTTTTTCAAAATTTACCAAAAAAAATATAAGAATTTAACCTCTAATAACAAATTCAAGAGTCTTACGTGGCATGTAACTTTTTTTAAAATTAAATTCAAATAATTAAATAAATTTTCTAATTAAAAAAAAAACAAAACTAGCATTTTTGTAAGTATAGTGGAACATAATTTCTTTTAATTTTTTAACCATTTTTAATTATAAATTTAGTAAAAATATGAGGGAAATTAATGATGTTTTTTTTTCTTTCTTTTTTCTAGTTTCAATTAATGAACATTTATTTATTTAAATTTAGTATAAGAATTTATTATTATTATTATTATTATTATTTAAAAAAAAAATTAAAAAAAAAAGTGCCACAGAGTGGGTCCCACTCCCCCCAAAATTCCATATAAATACCCATTTCCAACTCCAAAATTCCCCAAAAACTCCATTTCTCATAGATAAAACGATGGAAGTCGATCGGACGGCTGAGAACGACCACTGTCCCGATCTCCAACAGAACTCCGGCGAGTCAAGGCCTAACCTGACTGAAACGAACCTCCGACGACACGATTCATTGGACTTCGAATCCCGCTCTGTTAAGGCGGCGGGGAAGGCGGCGGCGACCTGGGGAGTGATACTTCAACTGGCGTTTCAGAGCGTGGGGATTGTGTACGGAGATATCGGAACGTCGCCGTTGTACGTATATGCCAGCACGTTCAGTGAGGGTATCAAGCATAACGACGACGTTTTGGGTGTGCTGTCTTTGATTCTCTACACACTTACCTTAATCCCTTTGGTTAAGTACGTCTTCTTGGTCTTACAGGCCAACGATAACGGCGAAGGTAATATAATTTAATTAAATATAAACTCTCGTAACTTTATTTTAAGATATTCATGATCATTTTCTAAATTAGCAGTAAATTTAGGATCATTTTCTAAATTTGTCCTATTGAATTATAATTTAGCTTAAAAATATGAATTAAGGTGGGACGTTTGCATTATACTCTTTACTATGCCGATACGCGAAGATCGGGCTGATACCAAGCGAGCAAGCGGAAGATCAAGAGGTATCGAATTTTCAGGTGGAGCTACCGACCAACCGCCTCAAAATGGCGTCTTGCCTGAAGTCCAAGCTGGAGAACAGCCGCGCCGCCAAGGTTTTCTTGCTCTTCGCCACCATGCTCGGCACTTCCATGGTCATCGGCGACAGCGTCCTCACTCCTTCCATCTCCGGTAACCACTCCTCTTTCCTTTCAATATGGTGTACGTTGAATGGTGGGTCCACTTATTTATTGCTAATTAATATAAACTAACCTTATTAAGTAGTTAGTTTCTACTTACATAAATAGATAAATAACATTTAAAAAAAATTAATTAATTCAACTGTGATACCTCCCTAAATGACGGTACATAAAATAACTTTTATTAAATAATAAACTCAACCTGACCATAATATATTGAGTTGAGTTGGATTGGTATGGATAGTTCGGATCATTTATTTAAATTTAAATTTTTAATAAAAGTAAAATTTTAATACATATTTTTTTAGTGACCAATAGAAATATAGAGATATAAATAAATTATTTTTTATATTTATATAATTAAATAGGTCTAAGATATGGAGGTGAGTACTTGGGGAGGCTTGAAAATAAATTGGAATTTTATGGCGAATTTGTATGGAAAAAGGAGTTTTTGACTTTTAAAATTTATTTATTAAAAAATAAAAATTAAATTTTGTGACAGTTTTATCGGCCGTGGGAGGAATCAAGAATGCTACCTCGACTATGACACAAGGTACTTCTTCTCGCATAATATTTTATTTATTTATTTAAATTTTTAATTAATTTTATTAATTTTGACAGAGAAAATAGTGTGGATATCAGCAGCAATCTTGGTTTGCCTGTTCATGGTGCAAAGATTTGGTACCCATAAAGTTGGATACTCCTTTGCTCCCATTATTTGCACTTGGTTTGTACTTATTGGTGGCATTGGCTTCTACAATTTCTTGAAATTTGACCCTTCTGTCATCAAATCTGTTAATCCTATATACATTTTTTACTACTTCAAACGAAACAAAAGGGACGCTTGGATCTCTCTCGGTGGTGCCGTTCTTTCCATTACCGGTAATCTCATGATCATTCCCTTAATTAGTCGATGCAGGACTCCCTTCCATCCTGTGTTAAATTTTGTGTTTTTTAAGGTTAATTCTTTGATGTTGTGGTAACAGGGACTGAGGCTCTGTTTGCGGACTTGGGACACTTTAGTGTGACGTCTATAAGACTAAGCATGTGTTGTGTGGCTTACCCTGCCCTTGTCTCTGCGTACGTTGGCCAAGCCTCCTTTCTCCGTGAGAATGCTCATCTTGTCTCCGACGCCTTCTTTAGCTCCATTCCAGGTACTTGGAAGTTTAAGTTAATAAGTTGGTATAGTTTCTACTTAAACTCTTGTCATAATCGGCTAGTAATTACCTTGTAGGTGCTCTCTATTGGCCTATGTTTGTGGTGGCCGTGCTTGCCTCCATCGTCGCTAGCCAAGCGATGATCTCGGGTACCTTCTCCATCATCCAACAGTCCCTCTCCTATGGTTGTTTCCCTAGAGTTAAAGTTATTCATACTTCTTCCAAGTACGAGGGTCAAGTTTACATCCCTGAAGTTAACTACCTTCTTATGGTGGCTTGTCTTGGAGTCACTCTAGGGTTCAAAGATACAACTAGAATCGGAAATGCTTATGGTAATGTTCTCTTCAATCTTTCGTTTTTTTTTCATATCAATATAAATTAGGGAAGAAATGATAGTAGATGGAATCGAGCAAATGTCTTTGCAACAGCTCAAGCCCACCGCTACTAGATATTGTCCTTTATGGCTCTCCCTTCTAAGCTTTCACTCAAGGTTTTAAAACGCGTCTGCTAGGGAGAGGTTTTCACACTGTTATAAAGAATACTTTGTTCCCCTCTTCAACTGACGTGGGATCTCACAATCCACCCCCCCTATTGAGGCCCAGCGTCCTCGGTGGCACTTCAGTGTGGGATCACACAATTGAACGGGTTGGATTGCGAGATCCCACATCGGTTGGAGAGGAAATGAAACATTTCTTTTTATAAGGGTGTGGAAACCATGAGGGGAAGCCTGAGAAGGAAAATCCAATAACAGCAATATCTGTTAGCGGTGGGCTTGGGCTGTTACAGATTTTCTACTCAATTTTGAAAGCTTCTAAATCTAATAGTGTTACAAGTTTAAAAACTTTGTTTTCACACAGGCATTGCAGTGGTGTTCGTAATGACACTTACTTCAAGTTTCTTGGTGCTCATCATGATCATGATATGGAAATCTCACATACTCGTCATACTATCCTATGTTTTCACCATTGGTTTATTGGAGCTTTTATACCTAAGTTCAGTCCTTTACAAGTTCGATCGAGGGGGCTATCTTCCTTTAGCTTTTGCAGGGTTTCTCATGATAATAATGTACATTTGGTATGACGTCCATAGGAGAAAATACTACTACGAGCTTGAGCACAAGATTTCTCCTCAAAAGCTCAAGGACATGCCATCTCTCACAACTCTCAATCGTGTCCCTGGCCTTGCCTTATTCTACTCCGAGCTTGTCCAAGGCATACCCCCAATCTTCAAGCATTATATAGCCAACATTCCCACTCTCCAAAGGGTCCTCGTTTTCGTGTCCTTCAAATCCCTCCCAATAAGCAAAGTCCTAATGGAAGAGCGGTTCCTGTTTAGACGAGTCGAGCCTGATGATCTCAACGTGTTTCGATGCGTGGTTCGATATGGGTACAAAGATATCATCCACGAACAAGAGTCATTCGAGAGAGTACTAGTGGAGAAATTAAAGATGTTTATAGAAGAAGAGTCATGGATATTACGAAACGAAGATAACGATAGAGCAAGCAGGGTATATGAAGGGATAGAGGTGGTGGATAGAGCTTGGAGAGATGGAATTGTTCACTTGATCGGACAAAACGAGGTGGTGGCAAGTAATGGGTCAGGGTTAGCTAAACGGGTTTTGATCAATTATGCGTACAATGCATTAAGGAGAAATTTGAGACAAAATGAAGAGATCTTCTACATCCCTAGGGAGCGTATGCTCAAAGTAGGAATGACGTATGAGCTTTAAGAGTTGACTTCAGTCAACAAGTTCGAGAATTGCAACTGGGTCAAGATGTAGTTTTTCAGCTTCAACTAGTCTTAAATTTCATTCTTAGATTGTTCGTGTATCTATAGAACGAGCACTATGAATTATATGTCGGATTAAACAAAATGAAATGAAAATAAATATATATCAATTACGGTTGAGCTAGCTCGAAAAAAAAAAAACATTAATTTAAGAATAAAATGGAGACAGCAAACAAACAATATGGTTCATTATGTCAGCCCATCACTCATTAGTCTAAAAGCAGCAAGGCCAAGGTGCTAGGTGTCACATGGAGAACTCAAAAGCAGCACATGCTTTCTTATAATTTCTCTAATAAAATATAAATTAAATCTTTTTTCTTTTTAAATATATATTTATTTATTTTTCTTTTTTTCTATTTGTGTTAAATAAGGTTTCTATCCTTTTATGTCTTATTTATTGTCTCTCTTGTTGGATTTGGGATTGTGATGTTTAAATTGTAATTATTTAATATTAGATTAACTAGGATTAATTAGTTTAATTAGTTTTTGTTTTTTTATTTGGCTTTAATGTTGCGTGCCCTAATGAATTTTAATAATTTAGCAACGAGAAAATGACACTCGAGATAGACAGTGACACGTGCGGGGCGTTCATCGAGTCACGTGAGGGGCAAGAAAGGTAAATGTCATATGTTTAGCTCGATTAGTAAATTATGGGAAAACCCTAAAATTTAACCTAATTTAGGGTTTAACTTCGTATGTTTCGGTTCAACCATTCTTCCACCGTGCATACTAGAAATAATGTTGCTCGGGATCTAAAAACTAAGACTGTTTGATAACCGTTTGATTTTAAAAAATTTAGCTGAGAGTTACTAATTCTACCTATAATTTTCTTGCAAGTACATGCTTTCGTAAACCAACCAAATCTTGACAACCTAAAAAAAATATCAGCTTCATTTAAAAATTAAACTTGATCATCATCTAAACTACGACCACATCAGAGGAAAACTAAGCAGAAGAATTCAACTATTCACATGATCCATTTTTCTCGGAGCTCATCGACATAGACCGATGATGATTCGAACCACTAATTTTTAGGTCAAAGGTATACGCGCATTAACGAATTAGGGTATACTCAGATTAGTGACTCATACTAGATTATACTCGGGGGATAGGGTTAAAACAAAATCGCTTTAGTTTTGTCCTTATAATTTCAAACTTTCAATCAATTCCCGATCTCATAACACGTCCCATCAGAAAAGAAAAAAAAAGAACTTATGAAAACTTAATTAATCAGAAATAGAATCTTATAAAGTTCGAGAATAAAGATCTCCAAATCTCATCCAAATCTATTGTATTTGCAATCAAACTACGAAGAAACAAACGTGATGAGCTAACTAAAATCCAAATCTCCTCGAACCCTAAACGTCAAATCTCACATGTTATGAAGACATGACGGAAGTGATTTTAGAACAGTTAAAAGACATGATTTTACAGTTTTAAACGCGATCTTCGTATAATCAAACTTGATTTTGATATCATTTATTAATATGCCCTAAATATATGCAAAATGTAATACGGAAACTGAGAATCAAATTAAGATCTTGAAGTTAAGAACATGAACAAACCAAATTATACATCTCAAACCAAACCCTAAATTGTTGGAAAGTTAAGAACACATTAGTTTTCAAGTGAGAAAATCAAATAAAAACCATAACCCAATTGAAAAAAGTGAGATTAAAAGAGGAAAGTTGTGTTTTTTTTGCTCCAAATCCTTAAAATTATGTTGTTTCATGCATCATGAGTATTGTTATTGCAACAACCCTTATTTTGTTGAGCTCTTTCCCCTTCAATTTCTCTATACCTAATCAAATACCTCCTCAAAGGCTCGGCATAATCATCGAACCCGAGCGTGGCCAAGGCACAGCAAATATCATCGCCATTGACGGTCTTCCTCTTCTCCTTATGGCACTTATCGGACGCCTCGCCCGTGACGAAGCTGATGAACTCAGACACGCATTCTTGCATAGTTTCTTTGGCTTCTTTGGAGATTTTGGCATTTGGAGGAAGAATTTGCTTCATGATTCTCCCTACGTTTGCTATTGGAAGTAGTCGATCTTGCTCTTTTACGAACCCGCCTATGCCGCTACCAGCTTCTTCGCTCGACCCACCGGTACTGCCACCAACTCCGCCGCTGCCGCCGCCGGTGGTGAAATCGTACTTGAATTCTACTAGTCTCTCTGGCATGGGTGTGTTGTCATCCATCTAAAAAGGAAAGGGAAAGGAAGAGAAAGGGGAAAAGAAAGAGGCTTTTTGTATCCTCTAAAACGGAGACACGTTGCTCCCTTCAAGTGCTCAACTTCTCCCTCCCCACTTACTATATATATTCATCATGTGATCTATCCAAATGCTCTTTTTAGGTTAAAACTTTTTTAATTTTTTGGACAAAGATATGTGTAAGAGAGGGAGGGAGAGAGAACGGGTTTAAACCCTAAACCGAAATTTACATCGTGCCAACGAGAACGCTGGACCCTAAAGGTACGGGTAAGATCCCACAATGATTGGTGAGGAGAGCAAGTGCTAGCAAAGACGCTAGATCTCAAAGAGAGGTGGATTGTGAGATCCCACATCGGTTGGAGAGCGGTACGAAACATTCTTTTATAAGGGTGTGGAAACCTCCCCTAACAAACACGTTTCAAAACCTTGAGGAGAAATCCAAAAGAGAAAGCTCAAAGAGAACAATATCTGCTAGCGGTAGATTTTGGTTGTTACAGTGTAAAACTAGAAAAGAATACATGATAATTTATATCATATTCGTAAATGATTTTAACAATATCTTTTGAGATGAAAGTTAGGAACGTTATCAAAATTTACCTTATAATTTAGGACGATTCTGTATAATTTAACCCTAATTTTACTCTATTTTTGTGTTATATAGATATTACTAAAAACTTATTTTAATAGTGTCTTTTGAGTTTCATTTTATTTTAATTTTTATACTTTCAATTATTTAAATTTAGTCTCTGTATTTTCCGTAAATCTTAAATTTAGTCGAATAAATTTTACATTTAATCGTCCTTTAAAATTAATTTGTTTAAATTTAGTCCTATATTTTTAATAAATCTTAAATTTAGTCAAATAAATTTTAAATTTAATCTATCCAAAAAAAATTTAAATAATAATAATAATATAGGGTTTAGGGTAACTTTTAAAATATAGACAATTTTTTAAAATTTATTAAAAGTAAATAACCAAAATTTACTAAAATACAAGAAAACGAACAAAAATAGTATTTTAATAATTATTTATTTATTTTAGTTTTGATTCCTTTTTATATTAAAGATTTTATTCGAGATACCGTTGGTTGTACTATTTTAATTTTTTAAAAGTGTAATCAGAGAATTTTTATTATATTTTTTTAATTAAATTATTTTCACAACATGGTACTTAAAAGATAATTAAATTAATTAAAATAACCCTTATAATTATCATTATTTGACTATTTGCATTTATTCTAAACAAATTCCAACTTTTGTCCTCTTTTATTTTTACCTATGCCCACTTCAATCATTCAATTATTACCTTTTGCTTTTAACTTTCAAAATTTTATATTTTTCAATTTAGTCCCGGTAAATATATATTTTACGTTTTTACTGTTTTAATTTATCCTATTTTCGACAACCTGTTGTCCCTCGAATTTAGATTCATCGTAAATTAAGCACGATAATCTTATTATTACCCAGAAAATTATTTTACAGTAGCGTGAAAGTGACGATTATACAGACTGTGCCAGTCATATTAGAAAAATTGAGGAGATCGATGGTGGATATCGGAGGCAGTAACTTTGGGACAAGTGTCGGCATAGTTAGGTTTTGGTTCTCTCTCCGTTTGTAGGGTTTGGGATGTGAGTAGTGACCTCAAAAGCATATAAAGGCTATGGGAAACTTCTCAATTATAGTTTCATGGTCCCCCTTTGTTGTTCCATTAGGTAATAATCTCTTTCAATTAGCTTTTAATTAAAAATTAATTATTATTATTATTAATTTTTTTTATTTTTTTTTTGTGGACTCAAAGTAATGCACGTGTTATTGTACTACAAACACTACCAAATTTAGGCCTAAAAAGACCCAATTTTGATTCTTACATTAATTAATTAATTAATTAAGCTACACATTGCCCACTAATTCTAGGGTTTGCTGTCTCTCTCTCTCTCTCTCTCTCTCTCTCTCTCTCTTAATTCCCCAAATCTTGTTTCTTAATTGTAATGCAAATGTATATGATTTCCCCTTCTAGATGAACATCCAAACACACCCATTTTTAATGCTTCATTAATCTTATTATAAAATCGTTGCTCGGACATAAAATACGTTTAAACGGGCCAAGCTCATTCGGTGTGAAAATAACAATGACGGGTATGTTTGAAGCTTTTACTATATTCTCGACATGTTATTCCTATATATGGTTGTACATAAATTCATGACAACAGCCCAAGTCAACCTCACGGTTTTAAAACAAGTCTGTTATGGAGAGGTTTTTTGTGAGATCCCACGTCGGTTGAAGAGGGAAACAAAGCATTCATTATAAAAACGTGGAAACCTCTCCCTAAGAGATACGTTGTAAAACCTTGAGGGAAATCATAAAGGTGGACTTGGGCTGTTACATTCTCTTCTCCAACTAACGTGGGATCTCACATAAACAATATAACTATCACTTTTTATAACCGTACGATCTCAGTATCAACATAAGAGATTGTCGTGTATTTATGTTGAGAGAGTAATTTTTCGTGATTTTTTTTTTATCCATCTTAAAAAAAAAAAAAAAAAAACATTTCCCAAAAAGCTTGAACTTTATATATATATATATATAAAAGCTTAGGGTTTGATGAATGGATAAGGATTTGGAAGATTTAAAATATATATTTGAGAGGTTGTTTGGTGAGAAATGGATTAGATCTTAGGAAATTAATTTATTAAAAGGAATAATTAGTTGGAGATTTGGTGTATTAAATATTTAAAATTTGATTAGTTTATTTATTTTAATAAAGAGTAAAAATAGTATTTAAAAAATTATAAAAATGGGATTAATTTGTGCATAATTTTGTTGTAGAAAAGAAGAACGAAATCTATTTAGGATTTTAGAGATTAGGGTTTTGTGCTTATAAATTTTGATGAAATTAAGAAACCAAAGCAACTTTTGTATGGTTTAATGTTACATATTATTAGGGAATAGGCATCCTTGAATCAAGGAGATTGCTTTGGAACTCTTAATTATTACCCTTATTTTAGCAACATAAAATATTAGAATAGCCCCCCCCCCCCCNCCCTAAATTTACCCAAATTATTTACCCAAAACGTAATTGACATGTACTATCAAATTTACTATTAACCAACAGCGTTCATATGACTCGATAATCCAACTCATTCGAACTATTCAACAGAAACCGTAAGGTTGGGTTGGGTTAAATTTTGAAAATCAAAAATTTGGTTTAGTTTCTCGGTTGACATTTTTTTGTATGTGTCAACCTGGTCAACCCAAAAAGAACATTAAGGTTGGTAACCGATGTTAGTGATATTAAAACTTTTCGAGATTTTAGTTAACAATAATTTTTTTAAAAAATAATTAAAAAAAAACAGCTCGATAACCCAATTCAGGATTGAGTTCTATTTGATTGTAAACTTTATTCGGGTTACTCACGTCATCAATCCAATCAATCTTGAATTAACCCTTCTATTTTTTTTTTTTAATGTAATTTACTTAAAAATACTACTTTCAAGGTAAAGTGGTGGGTGGTCGTATATTTTTAGTTAAATTATAAGTTTAATTTTGATATTAGAATATTAAAAAATATTAATGAATTTTTTTAACATAGTAAAAGAATAATAATAAATGATATTTTTCATATAAAATTAAAATTAAAATTTAATTTTGAAAAATTGAGAAGTAATTTTATAAATTGAGAGAGTAAATAGATTTAAATTATTGTAATTTAAAGAGAGGTTATACTTTCAATAATTATGTTTGTAGTCATGAATTATTTAATTAATAATAAAAGACAGACTGTCTGCTGAAATGACATTTAACTACAACCACATAAGATTCTGAACTTTTTTTTTAAAAAAATAATTAAATATATTTTATCTTTATGTAACAAACAGACAATAAAATTGCAACTGAATTAAAACATTCTACACTTTGTGTCCGTACAAACGATTTTCACCAACTCATAATTTTGGAACAACAATAATATTAATTAAAACTTATATTTCATTTTTTTAAATATTTTTTATGATTTTTTTTTAAAATTATTATCCATATATTTAGAGATATCTATAAAGCGGCAAAGACAGTAAGTCGTCTTTATTTTAAGATTTGAGTGACATTCTGGCAATGTTGGTAATTGGGATGGGGACAAGGATTGTAAGCTCAATCTTTAATCCTGTTTAGCTCACGGAAATCATCTCGGTTCAAGTTCACTGCTAGTAGATATTATCATCTTCTGACGAGATTTTCACACCCTTATAAAGAATATTTTGTTTCCTTCTCTAACCGATGTGGGATCTTACACAGCTGTTAACCGACCGAGTGTTGAATATAGAAGTTAACGGACCCGAGTATATATAAAATTAAGTTGGTGGAAGACATCACGACACTCAAAGTTGGATAAAGTTAGACCCTTTTTCTTTTGCATCAAACTCCAACAAAACTACTTTTTCCCACTTTAGCAATTTCTTACAATTTTATTAATTCCACCTCTTCCCACTCTTGTGGCCATCTTATGTTTTTTTTTTTTTTTTTAATTAATTGGATCTCATGTTTCATTAAAAAATTAATTAATTAAAATATTATCAACCCATATAGATTCTAAAATAGAATAAAATAAAACGGTTAAAACCTGAATTAAAATAAACACTAATTAATTTTTTTTATAATTTTTTAAAAAATAATTGTTTGGTTTACTATTTCAGTGATTAACTAAAATTTAAAACAGATAAATAAATAATTTAAATATACTATGGGCCGAGAGCCCAACTTTTTCCTCTTATTTTAAAGCCCACCAAGATGTGAAATGAGCCCATTTATTATTCCAAATTAATTTAAAATCCATAAATAATATAATTATTATAAACTTTTAAAATTATAAATTTAGTCTCGACTTGAAAATATATTAAATACATAAAAATTTAGGGATCTATTAGATATTTTTGAAAGTTCATAAGTTCGTAGACCAGATGTTATACTTAAAAAGTTCACTCTCGATATTATAATATGTTAAAATAATTAAAGCATAATTCTTTTATTTGAATTTTAATATTAATAAAATACAAGTTGGGGAAAGGAACACCTTTTGTCCTTTTTATTGATTTTATCCAACATATTCCTTAGCTCATGTCCACTAGCAAGTGGGAATTTAATTAATTAAAGCATTAATTAAGGGTATATTAATAATAATTAATTAATTAATTAATTAATATTTTGTTTTATTCTTTGATAAATAAATTTGTTGGACAATTGCTTTGTCATCATTAAATATATCGATAATTTCCGTTTATTACTAAGCTTTCTAATTAATTAATTATGTTCCAATTTTTTGTCTTATTTTCTGTTTTTTCTTTTTAATTTATAATACCTTTGTTTATTGTTGTTTCCCCTTTTAGCTTGTGACTACTAATAATGTGTAGCGTGTCGTGTGTCGTGGTCCCGTATAGATTAAAAAAATGATAATTTATGAAATTTGATCGACCCAATTCAAACCATACGAGATTAGCTCAATAAATAAGTGGAAAAAAAATTTAAACCTTCATCTATTTTCATCGAGATCAAATTTTTTTTAATGGTACTTTTGAAAGTTTATAAGTATTTGTTAGACGTGATGCTCGTCTTTTAACTTTTTAAAGAGTGAAGGGTATTCGTGAAGTTTTTAATTTTTTTTAAAGGTATTAATAAAAATTTTGAAAATTCAACGTGCACACGATCCAAACCAATCAGAAATGAAGAAGAATTCTATCTTATTTAGTGTCACGATAGTTTTTCTCTCTTCTTGTTTGCTTGTTCTTCTTTATGGGAACCTAGCTGAAGATCATGGCAACCTGTCTTCACCCAACAGTCAGCATCACCTGCTTGATCACTTCCGACAAAGCGTTACGAAGAAGTGTAATCGCCCCGGTAATCTAGGTAAATCTGTTCGTCGGTCTCTCGTTTTAATCAATGATAGTTAACATGATATCAGAACCGGAAGTCGTTCGTTCATCGATCTCTCATTTTTTTTTTCAGATCTAAATGCTGAAATTGTTGCATTATCACCAACAACCCTAATGACTACAAATAGGTTTGTGTGTGAGCTTTGCAACAAGGGGTTTCAAAGGGATCAAAACCTTCAATTGCATAGGAGAGGCCACAACCTTCCATGGAAACCCCCGCAAAGAACCGACGTTGAAGTCAAGAAAAGGGTCTACGTCTGCCTCGAACTGACGTGCGTTCCTCACAACCCAACACGAGCTCTCGGCGAAGAAATGGAAATGTGAGACGTATTTTGGAAAACTCATCAAAAGACTTGTGGCACTAAGGAATACAAAGGTGATTATGGAACTCTCTTTTAGTAGTCGTTTAAATTTGTATAAGACGTACATCTTTTTATCTATGGATCATAGTTGAATTTAGAGATATCCATTTAACTCATAGGGTCGAGACCCAATTCTGCTAAATGGGGTTAGGGACGGAGATTATATTTTCTATTCTCGTCTTTATCCCAGATCCACCTAAAACTAACTTATTTTGTATGTGTGTACTCAAGGGGTAGGGACCCAATTCGAGGTGGGAAATGGGAGGAGGGAGCGGGGAGAGATGTTTCCTACTAAATGGGGTCGGTGACTAATAAATATTCTCCATGAGAACCTCGTCCCACCCACGAAAATAATTTTTTTTTTTTTTGGTAGAGATAGAGAATGAAATAGGAGGTAAAAATGGGACGGTAAAACTTACCTGTTCCTATCGTACGCCATGAACAGAATTATTATTCTTGAGATTAAAACTTTAGTATTATGGGTGGGGGACAGCAATAATAATTTATAATAAATAATATAATAAAACAAGAAGCTTGTTTGAAAAAAAATATAATAATTCAATGTCATTTTAAGAAATAAAATAAAGAAAATAAACATATATAAAATCCGAAATTTTTTAAATACTAAGATATATTTGATTAATTGGGCCTGGTTATAGTGGGTAGGTTCAGGCCCAAACATTCGAAACGCACCGTTTCATATCCGTATCCAAAACCCTAGCCCTAGACCGTCACTATATATAGACCTTAAACCCTTACATTGGATCATCATCTCCGATTCTCTCGTCCTTTTTTTCGTTTTTGTTTTGAATTATTTCATATTTCTTCTGTTAGGGCTATGAGTTTATGAGGCAATGATGTGGAAATCTACCTATTTTCTGAAGGAAGTTCATCTTCGCGTGATTATGAAAAATAACCAATTGATCCTTCTGAGCCATAAACTCTCCTCTCTAACATTTCGCTGAAGCTTTTGATTTCGTTTTCTTCGATTTCTGCTTGTAGAAAGGAGTCATTGAGGTGATGATCATTATTTCTGAAACTATGCTTGTTGACTTCTTAATTCAGACTACAATTATCTGATCAATGACTCCTACAATTTCTGCTTGTTTTTGTTCTTCTGAAGATTTCGTCGAACTTTGTTTCGAAGAGATCCTGTTATCGAACTCTTTTTCATTATTGTTCTTATCAAATCTTTTTTATTTTGTTTTTAAATCTGAATTCTTGTGAATTTGTAAGCCCAAGATTTAGTAAAATGATGATACTACTCAATATCATAGTTAACAATCATTGTAAATATGTATACGTATTTTGATTTTCCTATATATTATTAATTTTCTAAAATCTAATTTATTTTAGAAAAAAATTAGATTTGATTTTGAAATTTGTTTCCCGTTCTCTACGTTAAATCCGATTTGATGAAATTATCTACATTATAGTCCGGGCAATAAATTTGAATCCAAAAATTATTAATCAAAATGGGGCTGTAACATTGTTATGAAATTACAGACAATCCATTTGGGAAGGAACAAATAATAATTATTTGCTACAAAATTGGCGAATTCTCAATTATTCAAATCAAATTTAGAAATATTTGGAGTTATAAGCTGACTTAGAACTCTTCCTGATGTGAATTCAGTGGGTGAGATGTGGAATTTGATGCCCCAAACGTAGCAGAATGCTAACATGAACAATGTTGGAAGCTGCCATCAAGACCTCAATTTCTGCTTGTTTTGCTACTTCCATTGCATTTCTGGGTAACAAATAAGGGTGTGGAACATAGAATCAAGAACAATGGCACAATCATGAATTATTAATCTGGGTTTTATGAAACGAGGCCCTCAAGTGCTTTACCTTATTAGCAAGTCGGGAGGCATGGAAACCTCGATTTGGAGCAGGATCTTGCCTTGCAACAAGTGGGGTGTAATGCGTTCAACCACCATGCTCTGAAAACAATCACATTCAAGGAATCAAAACTGTTATTTTAATGAATCAAGCAGGTTAGAACAATCATTAAAGTGGGTTAATGAAACATGCTTGGAGACTTCAAAGAACAATTAGTTTCAGCTAATCACCTCATGAAATTTGGACAGGATGATTTTGGATACGATTGCTTCGATATTCTTCTCTTCCAGAGCGATGTCGTCTATATTTTGATTCGATGTTCCTGCTGATCCTCCTTGCTGGTCGGATAACTTGAGTGGGACATGGGAAATGGAGGGATCTACAGGGGATTATAGGTAAATGAGAACATGTGCCAACTACCAAAATGACCAGAGATAAAAGTGAAGTCTAGATGGTGGTACTGATCCCAAAGGGAAATGAATCAAGCAATCTACCTATATGTATAAAAACTTCAGATGCTTCAGGATGGGATGTATGAATCCGTTGACGAACATTTTCACCGATACAATGGGCGGCACTGACACTCAAAAATGGATCAACCTACAAACAAAAAGTAAATAAAGGTAGCACTGACACTCAAAAATGGATCAACCTACAAACAAAAAGTAAATAAAGGTAGAGTTCATCTATAATAACTCAAGCCCACTGCTAGCTGATATTAATTTTTCCTTTTGGATTTTGTTCTTCCCTCCAACCGATGTGAGATCTCACATCATTTGGAAGTGAAATGTTTGTAATTCAATCAGACAACGAACCTCGATATGCACATCAAGATACAAAGAAGAGCCAGCTCTCCTTCCTCTTAGGCGATGGCAGCCCTACAGACAGTGTTCTAACATCAGCAGGATCACAGGCAGTTATTTTCAAAATAATGAATGAAAGGAGCTGGCAGAGAAAGGTCGATGGCAGCGGCTTATGTGGTGATCGGCCAGCTACCCTCCCCCACGAACCAGACACCAACAGTCAAAATAACATGTTTCATATCAACCTTAAAGTTCACAGATAACACAAAACTTGTGATTACCTTGACACCCTCAACTTGAAGTATTGTTTTTCTGACGGGATCTATTTGATCTGCTGGGATTGCAGCATCCACTAATTCCAAGATACTAATTGCAGTACATAACAGAGAAAGTTAGAAATACAGAAATCAAACGAATTGCTGAAATATGAAACATTAAAGATTTTGCCCATCAACAGAGACAATCCTAGATATTATTTTAATTGGGAAGAGTGACATCCCATGAAATCCCAATCCCAAACCCAAATACACGGCTAACAGATATTATCCTCTTTTGGTTTCCCTTTCGGGATTCCCCTCAAAGTTTTTAAAATATGTCTGCTAGGGAGAGGGTTCCACACACTTATAAAGAATGTTTCGTTCTCCTCTCCAACCGATGTGAGATCTCACAATCCATCCCTCTTCGGGGCCAAGCGTCCTCGCTAGCACTCGTTCCCCTCTCCAATTGATGTGGGATCTCATAATCCACCCCTTTCAGGACCCAGCGTCGTCCCTGACACTCGTTCCTCTCTCCAATCGATGAGAATCTCACAATCCACCCCCTTCGGAGTCCAACGTCCTCCCCAACACTCATTCCTCTCTAATCAATGTGGGATCTCACAATCCACCACCTTTCAGGGTCAGTATCCTCTCTGACACTCGTTCCTCTCTCCAATCGATGTGGGATCTCACAATCCACCCCCCTTCGGAGTCCAATGTCCTTGCTAGCACACCGCTCAGTGTTCGACTCTGACACCATTTGCAACAGCTCAAGCCTAGCACTAGCAGATATTGTCCTCTTCGGGCTTTTCCTTTCAGACTTCCTCTCAAGGTTCTTAAAATACGTCTGCTAGGGAGAGGTTTTCACACCTTTATAAAGAATGCTTCATTCCTCTCTCCAATCGACGTGGGATCTCACATGTATTCCTAGTAGTTCTAGAAGACTTACATACCTTTTTACTATTTAAATGAAAAGGTTGGTCGTGTTTCAACGTTAAAACTTTCTTTAATGTTCCATTGATATCACACAAGGAACACCCAACAAGAAATCCATGTACTGCAGTTCTTACATAAAAGTGAAAAGACTAAAATTTAATATGTACCTCTGGTATCCAGTTTCAAGCCCAGCCTTTAGAATCATGCCTGAGACAACAAGTCCTGCTAAGGGATCTAGAAATTTCACCCCAAGGATGGAACCTCCTAAAATTAAAATCAAGAACGAGTATGATTGCTCTTTCGAGTAGCAAGCACGTTCACCAACTGATACAATAACTGAGCTATAAGACGGTGAGATGATGACATGATGAAGTTTGGTTTTAGCACGGCAATTCCAAGAATGTTAATCCATGGACGAATTTAGGAGAATAGTGTTAAAGTTAAACCCTTCACTTTCACGAAAAATCTAAACTTACCGAAATAAAAAAATTGATAATTTAAAACCTCAATGAACTAGAAACCGAAAAACAACGTGAACATAACACAAGTTTCAAACTAGAAAACAAAGATTCTATAGTCGACTGCGGTGAGAGAAATTGTTTGGATTAATTGACTTCAAGTTCTTATGAAAGCTATATCAATCTTCCAATATGAACTTGAAGAGCATTAAAGAATTGAGTTAGTTACCTATGAGTTACTAAACTACAAGCTACTGAAACCATATATACATTCATAATAGGAATGAATGTGAAGGACAAGAACCTAGTTCCTTACCGACACCAATGAGAGCGACTACGGATGATATTGCATCAGCACGATGATGCCATGCATTTGCTTTCATGAGTCCACTTCCTTGTTTTTCCCCTGCTCGTTTCGTGATCCAGTAAAGCCTATTGGAGGAAACAAAGGATCAGGAGAGTAAATATGACAAGAAGACAAAACATCACGTCGGGAAATATGACAGCATACAGCAAAAGAGATAACCACGTTAATATAGTTTAGGAGGCAAGGAATTGGCATAGCTTAAAGTTGGCTGATAGAGATGAACAGTAGAGAACTTTGATTCATTACCGTGCAAAAATAAAGGCTGAAAATATTATGACGCTAGAACGTAAAGATAGAACACAGCACTCGAAGGGATATATTCAGTACCCTTCTTTGATACTTATTGATAGAATAGTCATATTCAAAGCTAGAATAGGATGATCCATGTCAATTCCATGATGATGTCCACCGTGACTATGGTTATGCAAACTCTCGTGTCCAAGAGGCTGATTGACTATTTCGGGAGCTGCTGACAACAATCCCTGCACGTGGGAAAACAGAGAAAGCATGGTTGGCAAAACCATGATATATAGAATCCAAAATGATACTGGGTAAACTAAATTTCATCCAGTTAACATGGAAGATTCCTCAAACTTGTAGAAATCGGGATTGTGAAAGTATAACCGTTGGGTTCTAAAGGTTTAGAAGACATATGAATCACTTAAAACCTTTCAGATCAATCAGAAGGAAATTCATAATCAAGCATACCAGTAATAGTTCTGAAGCATGCCAAGCAATGCCACCAGCAGTTGCTAAAAGCATGGAAGAGATTCCAAGGGCTCCCAGAGTCTCAAATTTACCGTGTCCTGAGTATCACAGAAGAGACGTTACAAAATAGAAGTGAAAACAAGAGCAAGCTCTAAATTATCAATTCCAGGAAAAGAATATCACTATGATAGAATTATCTTTGACAGGGAAAATGCAGTAAGTTTTCAAGTATGGAGTAAAACCGTGCAGAACGCCTAGCCCTTTTCGTAAATCAAGCATTATTAGATGATCAGAAACTTCTCTGCAATAACTAGATCTTAAAGAGTCCACTCTACAGATACATCGGTTTATAAACCCAAGGATAAACTATTTCCAGACGAAGATATAGTAAAGCATAAAAGATATTCGATCTACGACAAGCAAACAATTTCTTAAATATGCTTTGGAAGCGATCATTCCCTCAATTGAAATTTAACAAGCTTAGCCTCAAAAGTCTTAAGACCGAGATGAAGCAAACCAAAGGGAAACCTACTCCCTCTCGCTATCGATTTGAAATGTGGAAGATGGGGGCACGTAATGACTTGATAATATTAACATATGGCCATATTTTCGTCATACGTTAGGAAATTAAATAGGTACGTGAGGAATGCAACAGTGAACTAATAATGTATTGCATATTTAGAACCAAGGCTATAAAACCATTATGCTGAGAATTCATTATATATGGAGAGAACAATGGAGTAGCATGTAGGTACAAATCAAGAGTGACCATATGGATGCTCCTTGTCCTTGGGAGCTTTCCCAGCTTTAAATGACCATAAAGCAATGCCACTAAGAACCTGCAAGCCACAGGTAAATAGTTATCAAAACATATTTGGATCCTTTTAAAAGAAATGGAAGACCAAAAACAGAAAAACAAACATAAAGTAGGAATCAAAAGTTCAAACTCAATAGCAGTACATGTTCCTGATAGTTCAGTTCAAATCAACAATTAAAGGGTTGGAGCAGTAACAGCAGCTTCAAGAATTCAACCAAAAAGACAACTCAAGAAAGCAATAAAAATGGAAGCTAAAGTTACCACATCAGAAACCGAATGAGCGGCATCAGCGATTATAGCTGTGCTTCCTGATAAATAGCCCGTGAAAGCCTTCCCTACAGCCAATCCAATGTCAGCGCCGAGACCCAGCTTGAAAATATTCTCACCCTCTTGGCCAAATCGATGGTCATCGTCATGGCGGTGGGAGTGGCCTAAATGCCACCGTCTGCAGATTTTGCTCTTCGGATCACCGTAGATTCCCAGTAATGTGGCTTGGGGATGAAGATCGAAGGATTGGGTTGAGGGAATCGCATGAAATTCTTTGTGAGTTGCTAAAGAAAGCCTGGAATAGAAGGATTGAAGTATGGGATTTAGGCGGTGGAATCTGTATCCCATTGATGGAGTTTCGCGGGGAAGCGGTGGATTTTGATGATCAGAAGCTTCGAAATTGTAAGGAATTGTGTTTAGTTTCTAAATCTGGAGAGTGGAAATTCAACAAATGATTCAACGACTGTGTGGAACGGAGAGGAAGAAGCACCGATTCCGTACATATTTGCGAGGAAAGGGAATCCGGTTCCCCTGTTCAGAATCTTCGTCTCTGCACCGATCATGCGGTTTTTTTTTCTTTTTTATTTATTAAATTATTCCCGCTTTAATACGTTTCGATTAGGTTAAATAAGTTATTGAAATATTGATTGAAATAAATAAAAATAAATTCCATTTATTATTCATTTGGTTAATTTTTATTAATAAATATGTTGATAACAATAATATGTCTATAAAATTAAAATTAAAATTTCAATATCAGTTTAAAACTTTCGGATTTGTGTCTATTTAATCCGTAAATTTTTAATTTTATATCTATTAAAATTTTAAATTAAAAAAGTGATAATCTTTAATTACACCAATATATCCTTAATTTTTTTTTTTTTTTTTTTTTTTATAACTCATTTACTAATGGGATCATTTTCACTACGTTTATTTTTTTAGCTTTCAAAATTTATTTAAATCCTCAAAATTTAAAATTTATTTAACACAAAAATACTTCTTCCATAAAATATAATAAGTTGAGAGAATCAGTAATTTATGATAATGATTAAAGATGGTTACAACTCAGGAAATTACTGGATAGCTAATGGAAAAGCCTCTTTCAGAGTTAGACTGAGAATAGGAAGATCAATGATCTCATCAGAGCATACTTCCAAAGACAGAGAAGAACACTAGTAATAATTGATATATGAAGAATGATACCCCAATCCCCCTACGAACTCAATCTCCTCAAAACTAAATTTTACAGGTCAAAAGCCAAAGCACCGAAGAACACGAAGAACACGAAGAGGGATACTCTTCCTGGTCGCGGTCGGCCATTGTGAATTTGTGTTACTTGGGGAGCCTTGAAAGTATATAAACTTGCAGAACACAGAACAGCAATCTCAACCCATTCTCGTTGAGAGGCACCTTTTTTTCAATGCTGTTCATACCCATTTTAACAGCCAAAACCAAGCATCTGTGAGCTCCTTCAGCTAAATCTCGTCCTACTGAAACAATAATTCCCAGTTTCAAAATTGCCGATCACGCCACCTCCTGTTGTTGTTGGTTCCATGTCTGTTTTGCTCTTGATATCCATATGGACTCCTCTGTCTCTGCTGCTGGTCTGCAGGCCCATAGCTTCGTCCAGAATTAGTTCTGGGCTCTGAGATGCTTTTGTCCGGCCTGCTATACTCCTGAGTCCTTACTGGACTGTTCTCAGGACTCCATGATTCAAATTCATTTCTTCCCCATGAAGGGCCTCCTCTTGCCGCCATGGATCCTCCAACAAATTTACTGTCACTTCTTTGGTTAGTTCCAGAGTTATAGTGTGAACCAATATCCTGCTGTCTTGGTTTCCAAGAACCTAAACTAGGGGCTGATTTCTCAGAGGGTGGTAAAGAAATATTCACACGAGTTTGATGTGGATGCTCAGACCGAAATGGCTGTATTTGTGACTGCTGCCTTTGCTGCTGTATCAGTGGCATTCGTGTAGGGGTCGGAGAAGGAGGCGAATGGAATGAGATTGGTACTCTTTCTGGTATGTTTGATGCAAAAGTAACAGGTTTTACAACATTCCCACCTTCTACTCTCACTGAAGAGACAGCTGCTGTTAGTTGATTAACTAGGGGCTCATTGGTGATAGGGAAACTCCTCAATGCCAAGGCTATTTCCGAGTTCGGTAATTGAACATTCGGAGAGTTTACGATGCCCTGTTGGTGCTGGTGAGAATGAAGTACATGATGGGATTGACGCCCATTGATCATAGTTTGTGGAAGTGAAAATTGAGAAACTGATGCAGGAAGCTGGTGGGACACTGATGGCATAGCTGCGTGTTGTTGGTTTGGAACACGCGACACTGCAATGCTTGATGCATCAACTGGTGGGGAAGCGAGTGCTACTCTGCTTTCTGCAATGGAATCTCGCTGTGAAAAAGGATTCCTCAAGGCTGCTGGTTTCCATCCACTCTGTAATTTTAAGGGGAAAACAATCATCAGCAAATACACAATTTTGAAATAACTTTTAGTAAGTTTGCTTGTAAAAGAATTGTTCCAAAAGCTTGCATTCAAGGCAAGCATTAGGGTTCATGGGGGGAGGGGAAAAGCTCAGAGACCAAAATCCCTGTTAAGAACTGAGATGCTATGAGTGGGAAACTCATAAATAAGTTTGATTGAGCGATACCCAATTTATCATGAAAATAATAGGTGAAGGAAGACCCAACAATCATTGACGTGACACTGGCAGCCATATATACGTCGGGGACGGGTGAAGTTGAGTTAATATCGAGCCAGAAATTATAAATAAACAAAAAAGAGGTGCTATTTGCTCCCCAAGTTTGACTTGATGAAACAGACAATAATCTGGTTAAGCACAAAATATAAGCAACATTTTTGCAAGTACTTTTGCAACAGCAGCAAAATGAGCCTAAGTCACGCACCGTTCCAGCGTTACTCGAAGGAGTTGGAGATGGAAGAGAGACTTCAACTTTCTCCACTGCCTTTTCCATCCTGTTGACGCTGCCCAAATTATTAGCTCCACTTGCTTTAATCATATCCAACAGCTTTACAGTTTCCTCGGCAGGCAAATTACCAGCTTGGCTAGAAGTGAGAGCATAAACTAATTCTGGATTTTTCAAAAGTACAGCGAGCAACTCGAGATCTGGTTCATCTGCATTGGACTTGGGATCTTGAGATGAGATCACCTCTGATGGAACAGCAGCATCCACCACATGATTACGAACTTCTGTTTCTGAGCTTTCATTATCAGGTAATTGCTCAGTTAGAACTTCAGGAGTCAAAGAGTCATCATAGTCCATTTCAAGGTCCCATGGCTCCTTGGGATTTGATGGTATGTCAAGGATGGTCTGGTAGAAAGTCTCCTTTTCTCTAGAGTTCCTAATGTTTTGGAATCCAGCTTCTTTACTGTTCTCGCCACCGCCTACCCGCCAGAGATCATTGTGTTTCATTTCTGCACATAGAAATAAAGTGAGGCAAGCTGTGAAATAATAAGCATGACAGATATCATAAAATAAAACCAGAGAATCGACAGAAGTATCTGTGGTCAACTACTATGATCCTAAAATTAATAAACTGTCACCAAACTAAGAAGAGTCATCGTTCATCTGGAAAGATATGTGATACAGGATGAAGAATGCATTATCAACAAAACTGGTGAATTGAAATCTCTCTTCAACACCAGATGAATTCGGTTTTTAACTTCTTTTACACCATACAGGAAAAAAAGTAGTTCATTTCATTTGATGGTTCGACAGAATGATAATCGCACGCCATCATAAGAGCAGATAAAACAGCCATAACTCAGATTTATTATTGTTAATATCATCTTGAACTGTCAAGTTTAACTGCAGGCAACATAATATTGTTGTGTTTAAGGCCACTTCACAGAATTCCCTGTATTGAGTCCCGTATTTGACAAAGTAAAACTTTATTTTGGAATTTCTCTTGCTTATTTGACTGCTCTGTTCATTCGATATGGCTCTACATTGAATTGGTTGCACATTAAAAGCCTCAGCTTCAAACCAAGACAGTTCAAACTGAGGTAAAAGCAATATTTCAATCACACTACATTTACCATATTAAAGAAGGTAGCTGATTATAAGCACAATCCATTATACTGAGAAAATGTGTAACAAAATTGTACTCCATAGCAGATTTGGCTTGCTGCATTCCATGCACCACACACACCAACTCCCCCCCCCCCCCCCNCCCCCCCCCCCAAATAAAAAAAAAAGAACATGCTGTATTAAATCTGTGACTATTACAGATAAGTGACCCCTGTACTCGATGGCCTGAAACAGTTTGGATAAGCGATAGCTGAGAACAAAACTCAAACCCACCCCCTCTACCCCCACGAAAAGAAAAAAAAAAGAAGGAGATAGAACACACCATCATCCCTTCTGAGTTGAAAAAAGTAATGTGCGTGTGTATATATATATTTGTTACTATACGATCAATAGAATAAAGTAATCTTTCTTCAATTTTTGCTTCTAGGAGAATCACACCTATCATCCCTTCTGAAGTTTCCCTTTGATCGTATAGAATATAAGTTGTACTCAAACACCAAATAACGAAGATATGTCAAAAATGCAACATTAACATTTGTATTGGACCCACTAACAGAAAATTCAGAAACCAATGCTACCAGCATAAAAAATATAAATACAGAGAAAAAACTGTAAGTATAGAAATGACTCCAGTTAACGTTCCAGGTTAGTTAGTCCTTTCCTTGCAATAGGCTTTACTTTTTAAAGATTTCGATCCCTGTATTTTTTATCTCCAGGTCGTTTGCAAGGTTGGAAATCTGGTCTGCCCATTTGAAACCCGTGCATGGAAAGGTGCAAAGTGCAAGTATGCTGAGTGAAGGTAGGGAGTCTAGTGAAAGAGACCTTTCTATAATTTCAGGGAGGGAAAAAAGTAAACAAATCAAATTGAAAATCTCTACGCATTATACTTCTTTTTTCTTTTTTATACCATTAGCTTGCAGCTGTCATCTAAATCTGATGGAATGAAGGCGTGGATGTCACATGTCTTTTAGTTCAATTCATACATGTTACGAGTGGATGCCCACCTTGCCGGGTTATCAGATTCAAATTTTGTTCAATTCAACGAAAACTTAAAAACATTGACAATAAAAAGAAATGTCCGTAGTACATGCATCTAAGAATTTAATAAAATATAAAAGTTTGTTCATAATGCAGGACCTATTTCTCTTTTTCTAATGGAAAACTATATAGTTTTTGTTAATTTGGTGTACTAGTACAAGCAAAGGGTGGTGGGAGAGACCTATGATCATAATAAATAAGAGCTTCCTTTCAAATCATAGTAACCAACACATCTGTATCGTGCCTAGTTTATCGGAAAACAGCGCATAAATGTTTTATGTCATGTTTATATACCGAGCCAACATAATTTCTTCTAAATAAGTGGCATCTCCAAGTTTTTAACCCATGCAACAATGGTCCATGTTCATACAATCGTTTTAAAATGAAATATGTACTATAAAGGAAGCATAGAGTGTTGAAGAAAATGAACCTGGTGGCATCCGCCATTGGATCTGAACCCTCTTACATTTTTCCCCGAGCGAATCCTTGAAGCCCACTTCAATCTTTGAATGAAGCGGGGTTTCAACCTTATTACTGATTTTTGGAGACAGCACCATAGCTTTTTTCTGGTCCTCAAATTTGGGGTGAAGGGAAGTTTTAGGTGCTGGAGACAATGCACCGGAAACTAAAGGTAATGGTTTATTTACATTCTCAGACTTCATACGTCCATTAGATGAACCGGTCTTCCCATACTTGCTCTGCATGAATTGTGCTCGCATTTTTGCTTTCTGAATATCATCAGTAGACATTGGCCGACCTCGACTCACAGGAGAAGTTCTTGGAGCCTGCGAATTTCTGGCAGTACTTTTCTGCTCAGGCTGTTCTACCATCTGAATTTTTCTACGTTCTCTGAATCCTTTTAACAAGCTAAGGAAATTAACTTTAAACGCTCCATTTACCAAAATGAATTGATCAATGCAAAAACGTTATTAGTTGGGTGAACCTTTAATTATTTATGTCAAAAGAATTCTACAATGTCCATAGGGCAACAAAGAAAATCTTCTTCGGTATACCCAGAATTACTTTGGAACAATCAAACAGAAACAGCGTAAATAAGAAAATTCAAGCCCAACATGATAAATTGAAGGACACGTGGTTTTTTATTGAACTAACGACCAAGTACAATGAGTAAAAAGTTATTAACCCTAAAACAGGTTTACTAAAACCAATTAATGACTCACAAGAGGAGAACATTATATCATCCATACGTAAACTAATCCATGACCCAGAAATGGGTTGATTTCTGGAAAGTTGAAACAAATTGAACAAGAAGTTTTGAGGAAACTGGAGAACCAAAAGAAATTCAGTATTTAAAAAGGAGGACTCCTGCCTTTGGCTAATCCAGTAATTTCTAGTTTCCCAACTGGCAACTCATGAAACGCCCCTTTTTCATATCCCATGGACGATAGTGTTGAACTTTGAAAGAAAGTTAAGGGATCATATTCGAGACGAAGAAAAAAGGGAAAAATATATCAGCAGTCTACTTAGTTGGGGAGTGAGTTTCTTTTTTAATGTAAGAAACATTCCAAAGATTCTATTCAAAAGAGCTTCCAAAACAGTCTATCAGAAAGGTATCGTTGCCCTTGGAAAAAGGTGATCTTCAAATTGGAACTTGAAGAAAGAAATAAAAAACAACATAAAACAATTTTAGATTAGTCTACAAAATAGTTCGTAGTAAATATATCAAAACAATCCTTTATTTTTCTGTTGTTCTTTCAATTAAACCTTTAGGCTTCAGTTATGACAGCAATTTCAGGTGTCCTGGGTCTTAGATGAAGAGGCTGAAGGCAATATTGAACAGCTATTGAATGGTCAAAGACTCTGGAAAAGACAAAGATTTAGGGAGTAAACACTATGGAGAATGCTGCTTAGAAAGTTGGGATGGGAAGAAGACTTTAAGTTGGCTAAAGTTTCATTCTGTTCTCTTACTAAATGTTTATTTAATAATACTCCAATTATTATCAATCTAATTGGAGAGCTTTGTGGTGAGTTTCGGTAGTGTAAGGCTCTGGTAATTCAAATTGGTTTAGTTTGTTTTAGGGACCCTTTGTATCTACAGTTTGATTCAAGAGTTTTGACTTTGTTTCTTCTTTTGGATAATTGTATTGACTTTTTACAACATCAATGAGAATAATGTTTCATTTTCAACCAGTAGTTGAACCTGTTATCAATCCTAGTGGAAAGGTTTCATGATTAGTAAGGAAAATTACACTTCCACTATACTCAAATTGGCCAACGTAAATCATAAAAAAAAGGCATTAATATTAAAAAGTCAGAGTCTGTTCCAAGGATACTGGATGAAGATAAACCGAGGACATTCTTGCGATGCAAATCATCCGAAGAGGCCGGCAACAGTTTCAACGCTTGGCGAGGTTCCAATTTCCTGAAGGAGAAAACACAATTGGTAGCCAGCAGAAAACAATAACTTTGGAGGACTTGAACGTTATTTAGTCAAATTCATACCTCGTGTTATCCACATTTACAATTGAAGAGGAAAAATTTTCCTGTACAGCAGAAAAAGTTGATGAAATTCCAAAACATTATAAATGCTTAAAAAATTAAATCTAGATAGCCCAATAACTTACGGGTACATCAATATTCGACTTCCATGATTCGTCATACATAATGTCTCCAATACTGCAAAAAAATGATAAAATAATGAGACAAATGTTACTAATTTCCACGAACAAATAAATAAGTTAAAAATATGTACATGCCTCTGTTTCAGAATCATATCTGTTTGTGAATTGGTCAGAAGTTTCATGCCATTGGGTTTCTTTAATGCTTGAGATCTTGTCAACAATTTGCTCCATCTTGACAATAAAAACCTTGCCCTGTTTGATATGTCTGATCTTCAAGTCAGAAAATGAGACTCAAAAATTCACAGGAGCAGAATAGAAGCAATCAAACATATTTTCAACGAGCAAACACAAATAAAGGTCATGGATATTGGAAAATCTCCACATGAAGCAAAATTACCATAACATAGCTAATTCATTAGCAGCAAAAAAAAAAAAAATTGCAATATAGCTACAAATATTTCTAAGGGAACTCCTCTACCTCCTGCAATAAAAAAATAAAAATAATGAAAAATAAAAGGACTACAAACTATCAATGAGAAAATGGCCACAAAAAGTAATTTAAGATGTATGTGAGCAATTAACAAAAAGCCTATCTCCGTTAATGATAAATAAGCAATTAACATGCACATAAAGGTGCCAATTGGAGCATTTAGTGTAAGATCATATCTGGTTGTAGTTCACAAAATGATACATTCCAACAAAGAAGAGAGGAGATAACACAAAAGCAAACACCAGACAACAAAATCATACCTGAAGTTCTGTAAAATCGCAAGTTGTTAACACTTTGAAGTATCGCTGATATATGTACAGGAAGAGCCTTGTGTAAAGGCAAATGACAAAAAACCTGCAAAGAATAATATAGATCAATTCTTTGTAATGCAGGGATTCTTTATTTAAATGCAAAATTCCCTTAACATCTTCATGGTCACTGGGACAGAAAGCTAGAAACTACTACCTAATCCACTCCCACGGGGAGGGGAATTTAAATGAAGGAGTCGAGAACCAAGAGCCATCAAAAAATACTCAAGTAATAATTCTTCAACTTGGGACAATATAATTGCTAAATACTTGAACAATGATATCACTTAGGAATAAACAAGCAATGTTAAGGTTATGGTCCAAAGTTAGCTATATATATTACCAGCAACAAAACAATAATAATAATAGAACAGAAGCTAAATGAAGATGACCAACACAAGGCAGTTAAAAACTTTCATTTGTGCATCGAAGGGCTAAAAGCCTGCTACACTAGACAAAATCCTACCCACATAAGATACCTAAAAATGAGATCCATATACCTCAAGGATTACGTGAAGGAGACTTGTTTGTTCTTCAGCAGCAGCTTGACTTAACCAAGTTGCTAAAATAATTGCACCACCTTTAGTCAAGAACCTAACACAATGCAAACAGATAGCATAATGAGGGAAATGGATACCAAAACAAGAAGAGAAAAACAAAACAAAACAAAAAAAAATACAGACTCCCAACCAAATGAGTAGTGTGAATAATACCAACATAGTACTGAAGAATTTTGTATCTGCAAGATCCATTCCATCAATTTAACCTGACCCGAAAATGTTTCTTCTTTCTGCATCATACTAAATATAGTTTGAACAAAATGCTTATCTATACCATCTATGCCAGAAAGTTCACTATCCTGTGTTGAACAGGACGGTCCATTATCAACATTACTTGGTTTGATAGTGTTTAAGGGAACTGGTGTATCAATATTTAAAGGAACTGGAGCTTCAGAGTTCAATTGAATTGGTGCATCAGAGTTAAAAGGAACCACTGCAGCAGAGTTCAAGGGAACTGCATCAATTGGCATACTGGGGTCATTGTCTATTGCAATCCTTCCAGCTTCAAGTTGTTTGCAAGAACTAGATTGGATGGATTTTTCCCGCGACAAACGGACTAGTTTCCTCACCCTTGAGCGTTGGCTATTAAAAAAATCACGGACCTAACAACCAGCAAACACAGAATATAACCAACCAAAAAGAAAAAATTACATGAACGTCTTGATATAATAGAGAAGGATGGTCAGAGATCATTTTTCTCCCATTGGAGCTCTTACAAATTTCTTCTCCTTTTGTAACTATAGTTTTTTTTTTTTTTTTTTTTTTCCTAAACAATGCCAATTGAAGGAATTTTTGTAATCTCCTTGGCTCTTTACGGTTGGCTGCTATAATTTTCTCTCCGTTATGAAAGTTGTGTTTCTTAGTAAAAAAACCATATAAAACCAATCAAAACAAAACTATCGGATTAAAGAATGGACAACCAAGAAGAATATCAAACCTGTGCTACTTTGACACCAAATAAGGCACTGATTTCTCGGGATTCTTTCTTACTAAGTGCATCTTTAATAGAAAAAACAGTCTGCATATACTTTACAGCCTTGGGATTGAGCAGGTCACGGGGTCTTTTTCCTGAAAACGGAAAACGGGGATAAGTGAATATGATAACAATATACTGATAATGAAACTGAATCACTTGATACCGTACTATTTTCATTTACTTAACAGATTTTCTATTATGCGAGTGAGTAAGAAAAACATCTTTGCAAAGTGATAGTCCAAAGTCGGGAGTTACCAATTGTAATTGACAAAGCACCAGCAGCCTGTGCTTGGACAAAAAACAGCATGAAGTCAGTTATCAAATAAAATTATTGTGCACCTTAAAATTGACCATGAAACCGAACTTTTAAGTTCTAAAGATCATAAACATGTCAAATTGCATTGTGGTGAGAACTAAGAGATAAAATGTGAAGCCTAGCAGAGGTTTATCTTGAACTAATAAATTGAAAGCATCTAAGGGGAAAGCATAACTTGCATCAAGAACAAGAGAAAGACCTCTATATACTTGCATTTAGCAAATAAAAGTATATAAACTAAAAATTTCATCCTAAACTCAAAAATAAGTAGGAGAGCAACTATTAAAAGAACACATACCAATCTAAGTCAATCAGAAAAGGGTATGATTTTCAAAAAACTATATATTTGTATAGAGCACTCCAACAATAGGTAGTGTACAACATCATTTTATCTTTAAAAAAAATGTAAAATACCACAAAAACTATCAAAAGAATTCTCATTGTCTTCAAAAACCCTTCGCAAACCAAAGTGGCTACAACAAAACTAAAATGGCACACTTCCAAAGGAAGTTTAGCTTTTCATTTCAACCATCAACACGGAAGCGCTTCAAAAATTCCACCTTCCATTCAAAGTACAGCTACACATAATACTCATAAAATATTTCATATAAATTCAATAAATAGCGTCTTCCACGCTCAACTAGTAGACTAATATTCCGAGCAGCTTGCCAACAAGACCTCTCATCTTTCATGCCCCTAGATATTGTTAACATCATCTGATAACTGTAAGTTATGAAACCAAAACATAGAAACCATAGACATACATGCCCTTACTGGCAAGGACGAACGAGGTCAATTGTGCATACCCCAGAAAGAAAGAGAGCACAATACAAAAAGGCAATAAAACCTTAAAGTTGAAATCCAAATTCTTTCCGCAGTCACCTTCCATTCGGTAGCACGAAAAAACAATGATTATACAAATAAAAATGTACATGAAATCATGACCATTATCCCTAAACTGGAAAGCATTGGGCGTCCATTTTAGTTTTGAAGAACCAATTTCAAGGCTAAATTAAATACAAAGAAAAAACGCACCATCTCTTGAGAGAGCGGGTTGACGCCAGTGAGTTTACATTGCGTGACGACAATTCTCTGCAGCTGATCGACCTGGGAGCGAAAGAGATCCTTTTGAGAGTCCAAAAATTTCTGGAACGACTCGGCTGAATTCCCAATCTCCAAATTGGACAAATCATCCTTCAATACCTCCATTGCCGACCAGAAATCTCGATTTTCTGAATCGAAATTGAACAAAAAATAAGCATTAAAACCTCAAAGCGAAGGATAAAGTATGGGTTGAGGCAATAAATTAGGGCCTGAAACGAGGTAAAAAGGCATTCGATAATGAGAGAGCTCAAGGAAAGAGGAGAGAGAGATAGAGGGAGAAAAAGAGTTGCGTATATAACAGTATACTACCGGGGCAGCAAACCACAGCCCAATCTACCACACGTGGGAACATATCGCACGCTTCGTAAATATGTTCGTTTTTTTTTTTTTTTTTTTTTTGTTAATCTAACCACCTTAGAATAAGAAGGTTACGATCTAATCCAACTCTACTATACTCTTAAAAATAGAAAGAATATTTAACGTTGGTAATAGAAGTTAATTATCCAGTAAATATTTAATATTTAAAATTTATAATAATTTACTTATTATTCTTATTAGTGTAACAAATTTTTTTAAAATATTAATAAAAAATAATGATAATTTACCCTCTAAAATAAATAATAAAATAATCGCATTGATGATAATTAATATATATGTTTACTGAGTTAGGCTTGAACAGAAAAAATAATAATAATTATATAAAACCTAACTAGTTATATTAAATTTTTATTTATTTTATTGCATCAATTTATACCCTCTATTTAATTTGCTAAATTAGTCATTAATTTCACAAATAAAGCCCAAAAAAACTTATTAATGAGGTAAAAATTAAATTAAATTTAATTATTAATGAAGTGAAAATTTATGACTTTTTTTTTGTCATATTAAATTTAATTATTAATGAGGTGAAATTTTATGATTTTTTTTTTTTGTTGTCATATTATAGATATGTTTTATAATTTATTAAAGACGCGTAATAATACTTTTTTTCAAACAATTATTTGAACTAAAACTACCTAAAAAGTTTAAAATATAATTAGATATTAAAAAAAACCTTAAATTATCAATTTTAGGATTTATATTTATCATTTCTTTTTTCTAAATTAGTCAAATATTTTAATAAAATAATAATTTAATTCCAACCCATTTTAACCAAATTTTAGCAAAATTTTAATATTTAAGATTAAAATTAAAAAAAAATTAGGTAACAACTAAGGCCGTCATCCTCACAATTCTAAAACACACTTAAAAGGAGGTTTCCACACTCTTATAAAGAATACTTCGTATCCCTTTCCAACCAATGTGGGATCTCGGCCAAGTAAATTTTTTCATCAATATTTCGAATCTCAAAATTTAAATTATATATTAAAAAAAAGTATCTTAAAAAAAATGAAATGCTCTCATAAAAAAAATATATAACTTACAATAATTGATGAACATAAAAATCTTATTGACCATCGTCATAATATGAATCAAATGCCTATGAACAAAATTGGGTTCTCAGCCATCTCCACCAACATCAGAATCTACAGCAGCCTGCAATGAGAGATATCAATCAGCATTACCAAACAACCAAAGCCGAACGCATCGTTTTCGTGCATATTAACTTCCGCTACATTGGATTGAAAGTTCAAGGACCTACTCGAGATTCTTTTTAAAGCACGAAGACTGAATGAAAACGAATGTCCATCAAGAAGAATTAAATTGAACCAACCCCTCGAACTCCACTCCCTCCCAAGATACGGAAAATGAATTGCTTATCGAACGGTTTAAGAGCCTCTAAAGACATTTAGCTATCCACCTCAAGAGGGACGCTCTCGATACGAAAAATCCAAAGAACGCCGACTGCAGTTTCACGAATATGATATTGTTCTGGAAGAAGATGATACCACTCCAGAAAATAGATGATACCATGGGACGAAGAACGAGGAGAGACCTTAGAAGCAAGAAGTTTAAGTCTAGCAGCTCAAGCCTACCGCTAGCAGATATTATCTTCATTGAGCTTCCCCTAGCAGACGCGTTTTAAAAACCTTGAGAAGTTTAAGTCTAACAGCTCAAGCCCACCGCTAGCAGATATTATCTTAATTGAGCTTTCCCTAGCAGACGCCTTGAGAAGTTTAAGTCTAACAGCTCAAGCCCACCGCTAGCAGATATTATATTCATTGAGCTTTCCCTAGCAGACATGTTTTAAAAACCTTAAGAAGTTCAAGTCTAACAGCCCAAGTCCACCGCTAGCAAAGATTATCTTCATTGAGCTTTCCCTAGCAGACGCGTTTTAAAAAGCTTGAGAAGTTTAAGTCCAACAGCCCAAGCCCACCGCTAGCAAATATTATCTTCATTGAGTTTTCCTTAATAGACACGTTTTAAAAACCTTAAGAAGTTTAGGTCTAACAGCCTAAGCCTAAGCCCACTGCTAGTAGATATTATCTTCATTGAGTTTTCCCTAACAGACGTGTTTTAAAAACCTTAAGAAGTTTAAGTCCAACAGCCCAAGCCCACCGCTAGCAGATATTATTTTCATTGAGCTTTCCCTAGCAGACGCGTATTAAAAACCTTGAGAAGTTTAAGTCTAACAGCCCAAGCCCACCGCTAGCAGATATTATCTTCATTAAGCTTCCCCTATCAAGCTTCCCCTCAAGGTTTTCAAAACGCATCTTAGACCACTCGGCCACCCTAACTTCTACTTTTTTTTCCCCAAAAAAATTTGGACCATTCCTCAATTCGTGCGTGTCATCCTTGCATAAGGGCCATGCTAATCTTCTCTGTATCGTCCTACCAATTTGAAACCTCTCCCTAGCAAACGCGTGTTAAAAATTTTAAGGAAAAGCTCGAAAGAGAAAGCCCAAAGAGGACAATATCTGCTAGCGGTAGGCTAAAGCCGTTACGTTAAGCGTTAAGCGTCTAACATGATTAGTAAGAAAGATGAAGTTACCATGATTATTGCAAGTTCCAGCTGATTGTATTGGATGGTAAGCTCCCCTCTTCCCCATCACTTTTTTCATCCTTCTCTAGAAAAGAACTGTGTACCTTAAACTGATATAAACTGGGTTCAATGACTAATGCATGGAAATATACAGAAACTGCCACACAAAAAGATGACAAACCTGCTGTAAATTAACTCAAACGACAGTCGTGCTGGGAGCTACGAGCTACGAGCATGTACTCGACGATGTTATTACAATTTGTCGTCTTATTTATTTATTCCGTTCCATAAATAACAGGAAAACGTAAAATACAAAACCTGCAATTAGGAGAAAAGCAGAGTTAAATAAGATTAATGAAGTTGATTACTGTATTAAGGAGATAATCACCTGTCTTAACCCCCTTCAACAGCATTTTAGCACGACCCAAGTACGAGAATGGCATGGCCAATCAAGAAACGAACGTTGACGTGTCACCGAATCAATAGGACAGACAAACGTAACTCCTTGTGGATGCTGAAGTCCCTACAAGCTCCACCGTTAGGACTTCGAACGTCCCACAATGACAGGATCGTGACCTTGGATCGTAAATATTCCAGGTACATGTCTCAGAACGTCCATATACAGAAGCCTCGTGGCCGATCGTGCTTTCCTAGTCTAAAACGAATGGCAAAGCAGCCTTAGCCAGCCAAGCACCAGGACAATGTACAGAGAGATCCATTAAAAGGCTGTAACCATGCTATCAACAGGGTTTTCGTGTAACGTGGTCGGTCTCTTCTGCCTTTCGCATCGATGCTTCTCAAAGAAACATACCAACCAGACAAGTCCCGAGTCAAAAATCATTTCTATAATCAGTTTTTTCAACGGTTAATTGCCTCCATTGCAATCCGTACTAGAGCCAACAGACCTTCTACATCTTGAAAGTTAAAATCAAGAGCCGTCTTGATGCAAGAGATACCGTCCTTACTCGTTGTCCCCACCGAACTCGCATTTGCAGCTGTAAAAGCAATCCGTGATTTTCTCGATGCTTCCATGGCGAAATTTACGTTCTGTGCCTGTAAATTACCATCATCGAAATATTAAAGTTCATACTTGAATACACAAAATAAGTATACTTCGTCGCTCGAGATACGAATGGACTATTTTTAGCAATGGAAGGGAAGAACTTCTCAAATATTTGTGTTCAACAATGTAGAGATTTGTAGAGGAAAGAAAAAACCTCTTCATCGACTATATGTGGTAATTTTAAATACCGACCCTCCCTCTCGCAGCCCGTCGAACAAGATATTATTATCTAATATAATTAAAGTAACCAGTATAAAGTTCGAAGTATACATACATAACCAAGCAACCGTACAAAATCGGGACGGTTGTTAGCAGGGATGACATGGGACCCATTAGCTTGGCTCGAGCTGACACCTTTAGAAAGAGCAACTTTGTCTGCCGTGCCAGGGTTATTTAAGTTATCGACATCAGACGCCGGTGATGGAGATTCTCCTGATAAAAACGTACCAGAAAGCGATATGAAGAATGTTATTAACAAATAGCTTGAGCGTATTTCACGTCTATTCGTTCTTATTACCAGAGGGAAGCATTTTCAGGGCTTTCTGTAACTCATTCTGGTCTCTGATGGCAGTGTTATGTGAAGAATAAATCACCCTCATGAAAGCTACTTCCATGCATTTGTATGCCAAAGCAGCAGCAGCCATGTCCTTGATTTTCTCGTACTCGTGTGCGCAAAACCTACGAACATCAAAAGGGAGAAGATAAAGAAAAGCTCAACCCCCGAGCAGTCGAAGAACATATCATTACCACTTTTTTTCCTAATACGAGGAGAGAATAAATCACGAGAAAATGTTGGACGAGAGTCTCACATAAAAGAAACGATACCTAAGCTTCCAACTTTCTATGTATTCATATTTTGACTGACTCGACATAGTTTCAAAAGAAAACATCTAGTTGTAATTCAAAAGCGTGCAGGGAAATCTAAACTATAACTCGAAAGAAGCCGTGTAAAAACGAAGAGAGTAAATTCTGGTTCTCGAGAATCTTGGTGCACGCACAGAAGATATTATTTCGACTTACTCGCATAGTTTTGCGGTGCTACTGTATATTTGCATAGACTGTTTGGCAGTCTCGTTGTTGGACAACTCGAGCAAAGAAGCTCCATAAAGAAACTTAAGGGCTGCTTGGAAATAAAACCCCAAGGATTCGTGATTGGACCCCGTATTCTGAGGAGAATATAAAAAGAATTAGAATACGAAGATCGGATAAAGACCAAATCGGGAATGTATGCGTTTAGTAACCTTAAAACGATCGGCAAGATGTTTTAAATCTTTGGCTTCTTTCATAGCTTTGGTAGCAG